ATCTTGCTTTATAAGTAATTCTGTATTTGCCCAGGTTATTTTTTCTGGAAATGATTTTCAAAGAGCTAAAGAGAGCACACACACAAAAAAGGGAAAAAAAAAAAAAAAAGCACCACCACAAAGACACCTAAAATAAACCAGCACTGCTATTTAAGCAGTCTGAGAGAATCCATATCAGGTGGGATTACAGAAACAGGCAAGAATTACAAAACTGATGAGGGTTTTATTTCTTTAAAGAGCTCCCCCCTCTTTGTTCATGTCCCTTTTCTGCACAGAACACCACTCTGTCCCTCCACTCAGAGCCTACACCATCATTCATGCCTCCTCTTCTGCACACAGCCCACATCCTTTCATCCCCTGAGAAGAGTTAAACACTCCTGTTCCTCCAAAGAACAATTTATTTTTCCTGACAAGGCCTTTTATGCAATTAGCTAGAGAAGCCATAGCCAAAAAGAAAGAATAACACATGTAAAACCACGCCAGAGAACAGAGTAGGTAGGAACTTGTTGAGTCTATTACCAGACAAAATGTTTAAATCAATGGTGTGTTCTCATAAATCAAAAGCCATATTTAGCCCTAACTATAACCATCCCTGAGCAATGTGGAATAGAGAGAAAACACTTTAAAAAAATAAATTTGAAGCTCCTGAAGCAGGGAAGGGAGGAAGCAGCAGATGAGACAAGCACAATGCAGGGTCATCTCCCAGAGAAAGAATTTATTTTACAGGTGAGAATGGAGGTGCCACAGCAGTCAGGGCTGAGCAGAGCCTGCCAATCACACCGACTTGTCCCAGTCTGGTGGTCATTTGGAGACATTACAGAGCCATTTGAAACTAGTTCAAACTTGGACATTTATATGAGGTTTGTGCTGTACAAATATCGAGCCCAGAAGAGCCAGAGTTCTTTGCTACAGATCAGAGACAAAAGGATTTGCACTGCAGACCATAAAAGATCATTCTTTTTCAATTACACTTGACAGGTCTGAGTTATTGTAAGAGGAATAGGTTTGGAGTAGTAACAGTGAACCAGAGAACATAATGTAATTTGAGAAACAGCACAAAAACCTCATCACATCCTTTTCATTTTCAGCTGGGAGTGCAAGATCGTATCTTTTCACCCCTCCATCCTTGTTCATCCCTTTACTCTTCCACTTGAGCTGCTTTGATTCAGATTTAGGGCCCCCATTCATCCCAATTAGATGGCTTTTCTGTAAAGCTGCTTTCCAAACCCATGCTCTACTTCCATTGACAGGATTTCACTGCTTTCCAGAAATTAATGGATTTCTCACATACCACAATTTCTAAAGGTCCCTTCTTCAACAGCATCCTTCTCAGCACAGACACCTTAGGCAGTTGTGTTAAAGCAGTGGCTCTGACCCAAAGAAGGATCTCTTTCCCTGCTGTGAACTCCAGCACTCCTCATTTTTATTTGCAAGCACAGGTCCCAAGCACAGGCTGCTGCTCAGTGCCTGGGAACAGAAAACAAGGAGCAGGTCACCCACAGGAGCCATCCTCAGCTCTCTGCCTGCAGCCTTTGGGCTCCTGAGGCTGTAAGGGCCTCCCCAGGCTGCTGCTCGGGTTTGTCTCACAAGGGGGAGGTTTCTTCCTAGCCATGTCCTTCCTTCTCACCTTATTTACACTTCTGTTCAGTCCACCATGCGATTTTATAAACTTCATTTGTTCCTTTAGGCAACTGGTTTTACTAGAATTGCATCCTCCCTAAGAAATCTGGGACAATTTGCTTCTGCTTTTGCTTGCAGTGCTTAACACATTGTCAGCACTCCCACTGAAGCAATCACACTGGAAATAAGAGTTGCTTCTTCCAGTTCTGGCATTTACACATTTTTATGAGACGCTGGAAAAGTACAATTGGATATTTTTTCCCCTTACAAATGCTGAGACAGTAATAAGTAACAGATTCACAGAGTTCTGACTTGGATCTAGGTGTCTCTGACATGTACCATGTCTTTCAAATATATTACACACTCTAATGCTCCTGTTATCAAGAGCTTAAGCTTTTTACGTTCTCCTCCCACCATCAACAGTGGAACCAGGGAGGATTCCCATCACCAAGCTCCCCTCCACACTTCCCACAAAACAAAGCAGCCTGCTGGGGCTCCAGCTGGGAGCAACTTCTTGCATCGTCTGGGTTCATTTTCTTACCCTGTTATTGCCTCTAATCATCAACACTTCAGTATTTCTAGGAAGTTTCAAAAGGGGAAGGTGGCTAAAAATTATTTGAACAAATATTGTGAAGCAAGCCCAAGATCACTCCACATTGTTTGGGACCTCCTCTTAATTCAAGAGCTGCTTGTGGGACACGTCTGGTGGGACCCTCTTGAGCCATGGATGATGTGTAGCTTATCTGATGGCACAAAGATACAAGAATTTAAATTTATAGAGTGATTTGGGTAAGAAGGGACTTTGAAGATCATTTAGTCCCACCCCACATCTTCCACTAAACCAGGCTGCTCCAAGTCTCATCCAACCTGGCCTGGGACAATTCCAGGGATGGGGGGCAGCCACAGCTTCTCTGATTGCTCATTTTATCTTGGTGTTTCCAACTGCAAACCAAAGAATTTAGGTCCAGCTGAATCCAAATTAACATCCTAAGACAAATGCACGAGACAACCCATTGCGATGGCTCTGAGCAGAACGCTGCCAGAAAGTGAAGCAGGAATGAAAATTGAGATTCATTGCATTTAAAGTGGACTTTTGAGCAGGAAGATGAATGGCTGCATTTTTCTGGGCAGATTTACAGGCCAAAAGAATCCCTGGTTTAACCTCTGAACTCAGAGGGTTTCATAAAGGGAGGAATTTGCCTATCGGGGTCACGCATGTGAATTCCCAGGCATTACAAGATTGAAATTGTGGTCATTTCAACCTAGAAGAGAAAGGGGAAAACCCACAACAGGGTGGGAAGGGAAATAAAAGTTAAGAGTGCTGCTTCCAGACCATCAGACAGCAATGGACACACTCAAGAGAAAAGCAGATGCCCTGGAAGAATTAGAACATCAAAATGTTTGGTGCTCACTGCTCTCAGGTCGCTGATGGCCACGTAAAATCACACCTTGCATTGCCCTCAGCCAGAAAATCCCAGCTATCCCTGAGTGCTTTCCATGGAAAGATGGGCATTGTCTTCTCCTCACCTCGATTTTTTTTTACATAAGCACCTGCTAAAGTTGCTACCAAAAAAGGTGAGAGCAGCCACATCACCCCAAACAGCTCAGAGGAGGAGAATCACACAGAAAATAGAGATTATAAACTGGAAAACCCTTCCCAATTTCAGAACATGGTAGAATTTCTGCAGCACTCAGATACACTCACCATGCATATCCAAAGGTAAATATCACAGAATGGTTTGGGTTGGAGGGAGCCTTAGAAATAATTTCATTCCAACCACCCATCATCTCCAAGAGCTGTAAATGATTTAAAAGTGAAAAAGGGAGTACAAATACCAAATGTAACTTTACTAAATATTGGAAGCTGGCCCTGATACCATGTTCAGTGGGCTCCCAGCTGATTCTTCTCCCACAGTGCATTTGCTTTTCCTTCCTCCCAGCTGGCACTGAAGTAGCAACAGCCTCAATAACAGATTTTGGGAATTTTTTTACTGTAACCAGATTTGTAGTAGCATTTAAAGCTGCATTTAACATAAAACTGAGCTATTTTCTGGCTGGCTGTAAAAAATGGAACACGAGCTAACATTAAATAATAGATCATGGAGGCTTTTTGAGGCCAAAATCCCATTCTTAATGGGTTTTTAAAAACAATGACAGCCCTCTGTTGATGCAGGCTGGTTTCTGGGAATGCAGTGACCAAGGATTTGCATCTGTTTGCATCTAGAACCTGTAACTATTGAACAAGTTAGAGCTCCCAAGCACAGATGAATGTTTGTTGATTCTGTCCTAATTGGTGTTGCATTAATACCAGCAAGAGATCCCAACCCTACATGTGGTGCTACAGAAACAGAACAGATGCTCTGTTCCAAGGATCTCAGCTTAAAACTGAGCCTGCAGCTTAACAGCAGCCTAGGAAAGTCCCTTAAGGTACCAGTTGTTTAAAAAAAAATGAAAACATTTTTAGGAATAGTGTTGACCTTTCTGAGCTCTTTTCTTCTCAAGGGAAATTTAATTTCATTTAGAGGAAACATAACCATGCTGTTTGAAAGTAGCAGAAGGGTTTTCTGCACTGACAGAATTTTCTTTGGAACAGAAAAATCTTCCTGATGTTACCAAACAAACAGAAAATCTTACACATATATTCCACCAAGCAACAAAAGGGAAAGAAGTTAAAGGGTTTTATCAGTATAAACAGCCTTTGGGCTGAAGTTCCTATTGGTATCTTTTAATCTCTTTGTGAAAAGTCTGGAAGCTCCCTGTGTTATCCTTGAAACCTTCCCACAAAGTCACTCATTGCCCCTTCCCAGCTTTCATCACTATCAAGTCCATTGGAAATTTAGGAGTGGTAATCCTGACATGGAAATACAGTCTGGAACTTAGAGATTAAATTCTGATTTAAGCAAAATAAATCTTTTCTAAGAGAAAAAAAAAAAAAAAAGCAAAAAAAAAAAAGCTAGATGTTAAAAGCAGAGAGTTGGGCTATGAATATAAAATAATGTAAAATAACCTAATAACAATTCCCAGAATGGTTTGGGCTGGAAGGGACCTTAAAGCTCATCCCACTCCACCCCCTGCCATGGGGAGGGACACCTCCCATTATTGCTCCCAGCCCTGTCCAACCTGGCCTTGGGCACTTCCAGGTATAAACACTTTAATCTACATCTCTCAGCTAGGGAGGAATCTGCAGTCCCAGGAATTTCCCTGAGAATTTGCAGTTTTTGTTGGGCCATGGGGTAAGAGGCAGGGATTGGTAAATGTCTTAATTAATTTACAGGACAATAAACGCTGCAGGGAGAAGCTTCCCCACTATCCAAAATCTTTATCAACCAGGTGAAAAATGATGAATTTTAATTTCTCTTCCACTTTTGTTTCTCCCACAGGCATATCACAGGCAGGTTTCCTGACTATCCCCCTGAGAAGACAGGTGGTTCCAAGGCTATTTTTATTGAAAAACATCCAGAGCAGGTACTGTCCCTCTTTTAATGAAAAAAAATTCCATGATGTTGGGGAAGGATTTGCCACAAAACGTGTCTGTTTATTTAAGTAGCAATTTTCCCTAACAGTGGCTCTAGCTCTCCCAGAACCTTATGGTTAAAAGCTTTTTCTTGCAAGTGAAAGAAAGGGATTTTTTTTGGTTTTTTTAAGGATGTTTCCAATCAGGTACCAAAATCTGTTCCCTCTCAGGCTGTGCAGCCACTTAATCACGACTGAAGGTGCTCAGGTGATGGCAAAGAAGTAGAGAACAACAGCAGAGAAGAGTTTCTTATGCAGGCAGGGCTAAACCTTGATTTACTGACAAGGCTCATTAAGCAAATTTAACATCCCAGCGAAGGAAATATCTGAGTTGATCTTGTGTGTTGTAGTGAACTCGGTTGTTTTTCCTGGTAAATCCCTCTCCTGATTTCTCTGGCTAATGGAAGTGGCTGATAATCTCTTCCTCTGATCATCTGGGTGTCATGCAGGGAAAGTGATTAAGCCCAGCTGAAGGCAGTGGTTGGCACTTGAAGCCTTTTCCACCCATCCCTGATTTAGTGTCAAGCAGGATAATGAGTCTGTTGGGGGAAAACAGGAAGCAGGATTTGGCCCCTGAGTGAATCAGTGTGCTGGGCTTGGAAAACTCTGAGGTCAAAGCCTGAATTCTGTGGTCCTGAAAGCTCCAACCCTAAGACTGTTGCACAATTTTTCTGCAGAAAAGTTTTGGTGCTCTAACACAGGTATGGTAAAAGAGGATTTTTATAGAATCACAGAATGGTTTGGGTTGGAAGGGATGTAAAAATCATCTCACTGCAGTCATCCTGACACCTTCCACCAGCCCAGGTTGCTCAGAGCCCCATCCAGCCTGGCCTTGAATGCTTCCAGGGCTGGGGAATTTTGGATCCAGTCCTTCCTGGGATCCCAGGGTGGAGCCTGGGGCACACAGCAGTCTCTGTGTGCTTTGTGGGGATGGAAGGACAGGCTAAGCCCAGCACAGAGCACAGCACTAACCATCTGCTGACTTTGCTAAAAATGCAGGAAAACTGCTGCAAACAGCTCCCTGTGCCCCACTAAAACTGAGTTTGGGGCATGCTCCTGGTTTTAGCCAAGTTCTGGGGTTAAACCCTGCTGGGCTCTGCTCCCAGGTCCTTCTGCTGTTCAGGCAGGCAGAGGGAAGGAGACCCTCAGTGAAGTTTTCAGCCTCTAAAGTAGAAACACATGCCAGAGTCCAGAAGACTTTGTTGGTTGCTGGGAGCAGCCAGGAGCCACCCAGCAAGTGGGGCTTACTGCTGGAGAAGGGTTTGGGGAATGTGATGCTAAATAGAGCTGCTGCCATCAAGGATTAACACAGCTTGGGAAGAAAACACTACCAGGAATTATTCTGAGCAGCACTGGATACGGAGGTAGATTCTGGAGAAATGAATTTAACCTTCCTGTCACACTCCCAGCTTTCATTTCTCACCTTCAGCTGTTTTGTTGCCTTTCCTGAGCATCTGCTTTTTCTTTGCATGAAAAAATGGAAGCCAAAAATCTGGCGAGCTCGTTTTACTGCTTGTTTTCCCTGCACCCTGGAAAAAAACCTTCCTCTATTTTCCTAACAAATTTTCACTAGCAATTATCTGATTTTCACCAATTTTGGGGCCTGTTTTTTGTGTCACAGCCTTTAGAGACCTCCACAATGCAGTTGGCCAGAGAAAGTTCAGTGCAATCATGATTTTACCCGAGTGTCAGACAAGTCAAACACTTTTTGTTCCACTGAGTCAGCTGCATAATAAAAAATCCCCGAGGCCACTGGGTTTGTTCCATACACTGGTCTACTGGGCAACATAGGAAAGGAAATCCTGGTCCCATGGAAGCTGATGGGAGTTTTGTCCTTGACTCCAGGGGGGACAGGAGTTCACCACCTCTTGTCTATGTGAGCTCCTGTGCAGGGGTTGGTTACTCCCAAGTCAAACTCCATGAAAAATCAAGACTGAACTGTATTTTAAAAGGGAGCATTTTCTAAGGCTTCGGTAAAGACACTTTGGGGAAAATAAAATACAAATTAATCACTTCACGAACCATTGCTGCATTATTATACATTCTATATTTCTTGATCCTTTGACAGTCCTGACCTTACTTGACTTTGTAATGTAGCTGGCCTTCTGCACAAACTGCTTCCATGACATTTTACAAATACCTTCCCAAAAGATGTGCCAAAGCCATCCCAACACAGAGTACCTGGTGCTTCAGTCAGAAAAATAAGCACTGTGCCTTGACTGAAAAGAACTTTTTCTCTCCTTTACTTATTCTTCCAGACAAATTTAACATTCCAGGACATCGGTGTAATCTCCCTGCATCTGTTCCAGATTTCTATCCCTAATGGTTTTTTATGTTTTGCTCCACAGATAATCATCAGATGTGACAATTTTTAGCTTTGCTCTTATCCAGCTGCCAACAAAATTTCCATCTCTTCCTGTAGTTCATTAAGTCTCATCACCATGAAGATAAGCCAAGAGAGTTGCCATTTTGCAGGCACTTCCCCCTCTCCCAGCTCCCCCTCATTTCCAATATAAAATAACATTCCAAAACAAAAGAAAGGTGTCAGAGAAGGACTAAAAGCCTTAAAATATTCCGAATATATCAAGTTAACCATGAAGGAGGAGGGAAACTGTACTTGGCCTCTTAAATTACACAACACTTAAAATATTCACCTACAGACAGCAATCTACCTTCCCTAAAAACCACGCTAAAAATCCTCCATAAAGAAGAAACATTTCCTAGATTTCAACAAAACTTCTTTCTGTAGAGTTAATATTCCATAAGAGAAACTTTTCCCTCCAGGAACACCACGCTGTGCCCCTGTAAAGTGTTTGTGTTCCAGCTGGTGTTAGAGCCAGGCTCTGGGGCTGCTCTCACCTGCCACATCATTCCCAAACTCACTCTATCCCTGCTTTTCTTTTATGCCCACAACTCTAAAAGGCAAGAAGTTCAAGTAAGATCTTCTTTCAAGGAATAAGGGGAGGGTTTATTCCTGAAGAAGGACATTTACCTGGAGTATCTGAGCCAACACCAAATTTCATTTGCACTGCAAGATTTTAGAAACAGGGTTGAACTGATCTGGGTAAACAAAAGTCAATTAAACTTTTATGGAGCATCAGTTTTAAAGGAAAATGTCTTTTCAGCCACTGAAGAAAATGTTACTGCAGAAGAATCATCACTGGCACAACAGAAGTCCTAGGAAAGACTGGGAAAAAATAGGAAGAGGCTAAAATTAATCTGTTCCTACTGCAATATGGTTTTTTCCTCAGTATTAAGAGTTTGCTAACTACTTTGCATCATTTCACAAATTTCATTTCATTTCAAAAATAGACAACCTAGCAAAGAAAAGGGGAGTGCAGAACAACTTAGGAAGACATCTACTTCTCTTTCCACTATGAAGTTTTCTCCAGGGCAAAAAAAAACTATAGTAAAATGCAGGTGAATTGCCTACTAATCTCAAACTAACCTTTGCTTGCCATTCCCTTTTTTTCCTCCTCTGTTGTCAGATTGTTCAGGTATCTCCTTGCAGCTGGAGGGGAAGTGGCTCTGTATAAAAGAGCAGAAGCCACTCGAGGTTAGACACACGGGCAGCTTCCCCCAGCTCCCAGCCCTCTGCAATCTGCTTGGAGCAGAGGTGGGAGCAGAGCTGGAAAAGCTGCAGCAAGGCCAGGCAGAGGGACAAGGACACTTCAGTGCCATCACAGCAGGTTCATGAGAACAGAAACTCTGTCTCAGCCCTTCCAGTATCGTTCATCTGTGCAAAAACACGAAAGCAAATCACTCCACTCGGAGTCTGGATGCACTTAAAATGCTGCCTGCAGAATGCAGAGGCACTGCTGCAAACTGAAACCTCTTGTCAATCATGTGTGTGTTTAGAGGTGTCCTGCTGGATAAAGCCACCCCTGAGACGCTGGGAATGGTTCTGGTTACCCTGTGCAGGCAGGGCAGAGCAGAGGTGGAGGGGACAAGGTTGGGTTTCTGGCTGCCTAGGAACGCTACAGTAAAGAATACACTCGGAGTAGCTCTGTTGGTTTTGGATACAACAGGCCTGCTGGGACACTAAAAACCTATTTTGAACTCCAGTCAATCTGTTAATCTATCCCAGGGAATGAAATGCTTCACTGCTTATCACCACAAGATGTGACTGAGCGAATGCTCAGGGTTTGAATTACCATATTTAATTAAATGTAAGATACTGAAATGCTTGGGGAGAGCCACTAATGAAACTGCCCTGGCTGCAAAGCACAGCCCTTGTCATTGTCCCCTTCCAGCATCCAGTGTTGAGTACATTAAAAGGTGTACTTGAGAAAACAAATATTTTCACTGTTACAGGAAACACATCTTACTGATGGAAATGTTTCATTTTCTACTCTTTCGCAGTACTGCTGGTATTAGTGGTCTATTAATAAGCTTCAATGGATTTTCTGATTTAGACTCATTAGTAAGTGATCTTAGAATTCCTCTCAGGGAAGAGAAAGCTGCCTAGAAACAAGAGAAGCAGCAAATTTTCACCCTCTGCCTTTTTCAGATAATAAAGTATAAATGGCCAGGAACTAAAGATACGGGAATTGATGGAGCTGTACCCAGTTATCAGCTGCTATTTGCTTGCAGGGATAAAGATGTTGAGCTATCCCTGTGTATCTGTCACAAGATCTCTACCCAATCTCCCTCACCCCCTAGAACAATTTCAGTCTTTAGCCATATATTGAAATTAGACACACCTCAGGGCAGCCTTTTAAAATCCATCCCTATAAAAAAATCAATTTGCCTTACAAACACCAGGACAAATTCATAATCTGGGTCTGAGTCCAGAGGGAACTTTGAGTTAGGTGTCATTAGAATATTCTGCTTCTGGATGGTTTTCCATAAAAGCCCTCACAGTTTGGGGACACAGAAATCAGCTTTTTCCTAATGATAAATTGGATAGTCAGCACCTGTGCTGGAGTTTGCAGGGGGGAGTGTCCTCAGCACAAAAAGCCTTCCTCCTCCTGTGATGCTCAGGAATTGAGAGTGCAGCCTGTTGGGTGTTGTGTTTTCCCAATCACGTTCCTCCCCGTGTCTTTCAGGTCGCTGAAGAGCTGGCTGCCAAAAAGGAGAAGGAGAGAAAGGAGAAGGAGAAGAACGGGAAAAAAGAGAAACAAGAGGTCAAAGCGAAAAAGCCAGAAAAAGTTGGAAAGCAAGTAAGGCAATGAAAGCAGGCTGTGAAGCCAGAGGCAAAGCTCAGGTGTGGGCAGGGGCTGTTAAGTGACATTAAACTGGTCACCAAATTCCAGGCTCAGGAGACAGAACTGGCTGAGGTTGGTCTCTCCCAGCCTTTCCATGACCTCCATGGTTCTGGGGAATTTTTTACCTCTCATATTTTAGGAATGGCCACGACTGAGCTCAGTGGGAAGAGCTGATGGAGGTGCAGGTGGTCAGGGATGTAAATGGGGGCAAAAATACACTCAGGGCTTTGAGATCATTGCCAGGACAGACAGGTAACAAAGTGGTGACCAAGCATTCCCACTTTTCATGTAGGTACAGAGATGTTAATTACTGCCACCCCTTGCAGAATTAGGAATGAAGAGCCTGAGTCTCACTCAGATACCCACCTCAAGCTTGTGTGGATTTCAAACTAATTTTTAAACCACATCAGGCAGCACTGCATAAACCTGCAAATAAAGCCATGCATTTTCAGCCCATGTTCTCAGGACAGGAGTTATTTTTGCTGCAAATGTCTGTAGACACCATTTAATGTACAATATACCCCCTGAAATCTTTGAGATAAAAGGCTGCTTCCAAATTATTTCAAATATTCCAAATATTTCCAAATTATTCCAAATACTTCATTATTACACACACTTCCAAATTATTTCAGGAGCAGCTTCACAGAGCAAAACACCTGTGAAACAGAGCAGTGATCAAAGGGCATCTTCAAAAGCAAGCTGTGTGTCAGCTTTTGCTGAAGCAGCAGCTTTCATTTCTCACTTACTTCACAGTATAAACAAAAGTTGAAACAATATCTATTTTTTTTTAATAAGAGTTATTAATCTCTCACTAAATATGTGGAGGAGAAGGGTGAGTTTTCTAGGGCAAAGCATACTCTTCACTGCAAGTTTTACACAAATTAATTTGAAGGCCTAACCCTAGAGCAAATATATTTCAAAAAATGATGTTTTTCTTGGACAACATCCATTAATCTGGCCAAAACCCTCAGAACATCTAGCCAGGAACCTAAATTACATGAATTTAGGAAGCATCAGTCAATTTAATAGAAAGGTAGATACCTTAATGTTAACATGTAAATGAGTATCTTGAAAACACTGCTTGGGAGTTTGGGGTGAGTTGGTTTTGTTTTTTTTTCCTTTGTAAATGAAAATACCCAGCAAGCTCAAGGAGCTGAAGGAGCAAATACATGAATGTTTTTTCAAGGTCTTTTAAGCCTGATTGCTTAACTTTGCCAGCTAGGAAGGGTTGTGGCTGCTCCTGTGCAAACAGGAGATGTTTTTTTAAGTTCTGGTCACACATCTTCAGCCAGTCACTTGTTACTGTGACGCTGTCACAGCACTGATGAAGCTCCTGAAACTGGATGGCACCTCACCCACCTGCTTAAAAACCTGACTTTCACAGGATAAAATATGATTCCTTCTTGGTTTTGCACATTTCTGAAGAACCAACAACAGCAGAAATGTGTCTCAATCCCTTTGCAGCCTCTGCAAGGCTGTTTGGAATTGGGGTGAAATAACAGCGTGGAGCTCTGGGGTTTTATAACTTTATGTCATTCCCATCTCCTCAGCCATCACAAGTCCTGTCAAGTAAAATCCTGAGCCATTAGATCAGGTTCTCTACGGTTCATTGAGAAAGAACAAAGGCAACATTCTCTCCAAGGTTATAGCACTGACAGGGGGAAAAAAAAGAGTATCCTAGACCAGTTGAGAAGTATCTGGAAAAGTTCTAACAGCAGGACTCTTATTAAAATAAGTATAGGCTATAAGTCATAGGGATGCAGGCAGAAAAAAGCTCTGCTCCCAACTTCAGCTCTTAAAGAAAACAAAAGTTTAATCCCAGAAGGAAATTTAAGTATTTCTGAAAAGCCTGATAGCAATCTTCACAAAGAGTATTTGGTATCAAAGTAACTTCACTCTCTTTTCTCTGCAAGGTGCTGATTTGATTTCCCATTAGGCACCTAAGGAAAAAACAACCCATGGCTTCATCCCCACAAAATCCCACTTTCCAAAACCCAGTAACTTGTTGGGGTTTGTCTCACTGAACGTGAGCAAGGCTGAGCATCCCTGAGTGCCAAACATGGGACACATTCCTGTCCTTAGTGAAACCCCTTAGGAAAATGTCCAGAGGAAATGTGCACTGTGCAGCCAATTCAGCTTTCCCTGCTGTTGAAAGGGAATCAGCTGGTGTGGAGCTGCCTTTGGAAAGCCTCAGAAATAGATTGAGACTCTCATTTCCACATTTCTGCTTAAATTCAAACATATATTGCTGGTTCAAGGGGCCTTAACACATTTCAAACAGAACAAGCATGAACTCAATCCATTGGTAATCAAAAAATAAATGAACTGGTTTCAAAGGAAAAGTTCTTTTTATTATGTTGACTCTTAGGCTGTTAATTGAGGTGAGAGAGAGAACAGAACTGCAACTGTCCTTTAGACACAAGAGTGGGTTTGATTAAAATCAATTAAATTGACACAATGATATCCTTGATATCAGTGTATAAAATCACTGAAGCAAATAACTAAAACAATTCATTGCCCTATTTATAACAATAAAATGTGGATGTGTCCTGTGGTATTGAGAGGCTAAAAATGAATAACCCATTTCTAGGCTGGTTTGGAGGGAATTTGTTTGTTGGGTTTTCTAATAATTGACACATTTCCTCTCAGAACATCATGGTTTAATAATTTTTTACAAAATACCATGGAAAAATGGTAAAAGAAGGATTCTGCCTACTGCAAATGATCCAAGGATGAACCTCAAAGTGCCACACCCTGTGAAACTGGGAATACATCAGAGTAACTGAGGATCTACCCTCCAGCTTTTTGTTTTACTTAACCAAAACAGCTCTTGATGTTCAGTCAAGAACCTCCTGAGTCTCTTTCAAATGCTTCTCTAGGGTAGAAGTGATAAATGTATTTTGATTTTTCCTGTCCTTCTGGGCCCAAACTGTAATTACGGTAATAAAACTTAAATTAAAAACAAATATTTGATAACAGGGCTGCAATTGTACCTGCAGGCAGCAGATATGCCCCTAATTACAGGGTTTATTTAGGAAGGTGTTTAAAGTGCAGGAGCTGAATTTTATATCTTGCTGATAACAAGTGGTTTGCAGGTTATTTAGCAAAATCCTGATGCACCTTGTGCTGTCTTGTATAAATCCACATTCACCTCCTCCCCAAACAGTGATTTAATCTCCTTTTGTCAGCTGTTACCTTCATTACATCCTGAGACTTATGACTGATACAAGATGAAGAAACTTTGATCATTTTCTGGGAGATTTTTCCCTCAGAAATACTGGGTCAATGAAATAAAACTGTTTAGGGAATATGGCAATAGAAGCAAAAGTAACTGGAAAAATGGCATTTCAATTAAATTCCATTTAAATACTGCAAGTCTCCTACCAAAATTACATTTTCAAATAAGCTGGAGTTTAATCCCTTCTCTCATGGAGCAGCCTGGGCTGGTGGGAGGTGTCCCTGCCCAGGGCAGGGGGTGGGATAAGATCTTTCAGGCCTTTTCCAACCCATCCCAGAATTCTGTGAAACAATGCTGTCAGCAATTCCTCTCTTCACTTTTCCCCCCCCAATCTAGGTAGTGGATCTAAGATGGAAAATTGGTCCAAGCAATTTCCTGTCGATACTGGAGGAAGGAAGCTCTCAGTACCAAGGTCAGTAGAAAAATATAACAATTCCAGCTGGAATGTTCTCCCAGATCAGCTTAATTGGGATGTCATTCCTATAAGGTCAAGTGGGCAGCTGCCCAAACTATGGAACACTATAAAAATTAGGATGTTAGATTAAAAAATGGTGTTTAGGGAGTCTCTCAGTACCTGAGTCCTTCCAAGGAATCTGTCAAAACCATTGAGCTAATCAGGCAGGAAGGGACATTTCTGTGGGTGAAAGTGAACAAACTCGAAGCAAAGTGCTTCAATACATATAAAAAAGGCATTTTAGGATTTTCTGAGGGCAACAAGAATGACATCAGAATAGCCAATAAAGCAAAAGCACAATACTGTGGATCAAGTTTCAGCATCAGTGTTTTCATACTCCTGTCCTGTCTCTTCCAAGAGTGAGAATCAAGGGAAGAGTCTGTGGATTCCTTGGCAGCACCCACAGCTACTCCAATTATTTTTGATTATATGTTTGAATAGGAGGAGCATCTTCTCAAGCAGAGGCACAAAAGTATGAATGTGCTTGCTTCCTGCAAGGTGTGTGAAATGAAAACATAACCCAGACTTCCAGCAAGGAGCTTGGCTGGCTTGGTACCCCCAGAAGCAAGAATTTCTTAATAAAAATCTTGAAAGGACATTTAGTTCTTTTCCAGATCTCTTCTATCCTCTCCTCTGCTTTTGATCCTTCTGTTTATCTCTTCAAGACTTGTCTTCAGTGCTCACCCTGATTCACAAGTGAATGAGAAGTCTTGCACTTGAGTAAAGTGGAAAATGGGGTTATTTTTTGCTGTATCTCTGCAGATTCTGTTCTGATACAATGTGGAAAAGTATCTTTTCTGCTCTTGACTCTTCAGAGTTAATGCCTTGCTAAAATTCTTGATATGAAAAGTCTCCATTATTCCCTCCTGCTGACAAATTACTGGCATCAAGTTTTCTGCCTGATTTGAGCTGGCTGGAGAGAAAGAAGTGAACAACTTGCTAAATGTGCATCAGTAGTTCAGCCTGACCTCTGACTTGTAACAATTAGGATTTTCTTACACGTTATAAATCACAGAGCAGCTTTCTGGCTAAAAAGGACCTTTGCATCCCATCTACTCTCAAATACCACGCCAGAACCCTGCTGAAGGCAGCAGGAGCTTTAGATAAGGATCAAATCTATCCAAACTTCTTTCCATAGCTGGCCAAGGACAAAATGGCATCTTGAACTCCAAAGCAGCCGTGGCAAGAGTGGGGCTCCCACCCAGCGAGTCCCCAGGGCAGGGAAGGAGCAGCGTGGAAGCAGCAGAAGGGAAACAGGAGGGCTTTGCCTTGGAGGGAACATGCTTGGCTGTAACCTCAGCACAGCACTGGATACCAGAGTGAGGAATAAAAACAGCACAGAGGCTGATGGGTGACTCTGATAGCGATGGAGACTCCCAGATTTCACAGCTATCTCGTGTAATAAGCCAGGGGTTTTACGAGGGGATGGGAGATTTGTCACCAAACTGTGTCTGAACACCAGCACTGCCATTCCCAGCAGACACCTGCTTCGAGCCCTGCAAATACAGAACTTTTCTGGGGTCATTCACACAGTGTGAGTGCCTCTGTGGTTCCCATTTCCCACTTAAACACCCACACATCTCCAGCCCATCCTGCCAAAGCTGGCAGCTACTCCCCAGCTCTGAAGGCACATGAGAAGGAGCCCTTTTCTGCACAGAGCACAACCAGAAATCCTCAGAGTGAAAAAGCTCTCTTGCAGGCTTCAAAGAATACCTGCAGTTCTGTCTTAGGCAGAGGAAGAGTCTATAAATGTGCAGTTAAACTTCAGGTGGGGTTTTTTATGCTCCTTTTCTCCTGGTGAAACTGGTCTATTTGACACCACACTTATTTTTGGTAAACAGCTGCTAATTCCTCCTTGCTCCACAATCCCCTGCCTCCTTCACAAGCACTTTGGGCTTTTCACTGCAGGGCACTCACACAATACTAACCTGGGAGTCATCAAAATTATTTTATTTTTAATCTAACCATGGATTCTTTGGTCATCAGAATCAAATCTACAACAACATCAGCCCACACCAGTGCAAGCAGTCTCTTGTATTTTTAATTTTAGGCTGCTTTCTTCTCAGTAGCAGAAATATTCAGGAAAAAAATAGGTCTGAGTTTGGACTTTCTACTGAGAGCTTTTTTCCTAATCTTAAGTAGAAATAGGTCACTTGCTATCAGCACTTGCACAGAAGTTCAGATTTATTAGTGTAGAAATCTTGAAAACAAGATTGAAGCTACAGAGCTTGATTAAGAAATGTTTGTATCAGGAGTAATTCAAAGCCCCTTATAAGTGTGTCTAAAGTTTACCTAAATGATAGCTGGCCAAACAACAAATATCTTTGTTTTGTCACACCCCCCAACACTTAATTTTGAGAGAATGTTCCCATCCCATGAAACTTGTGCTTTTATCCCTAGTTTACTTAAATAATTTTTAAAAATATAGATCAGCTTTGACAAAAACCTAAACATTTTGCTTACAAACCTTTTCACACTGTGTTTTTAACTCCTCTACCAAGCTAGAGCTGCTGCCTAAGCTTCACTGGAATTCATGAAGCCTTTTAGCCTCCTAGAACCCTATCTGGCAGTTTTTCTGCTTGCTAAACTCCACTTGCCAAGCTCCAAAAACACTTATTTTAAATGATGTTGTTGGGAACAGCCACTTTGTGTGAGATCTCCTTTGACACTGGAATTGCCAGAGTTTATGTGGGGCAAATGTAAGGCTGAGCCATTACCTCCCTCTTCCTGGGGTGTATTTTTGCAGTGTGAAGCAGCAATGTGCTATTTCCCCCCATTCTATAGATGACCAGTTGATATTTATGACTTGCTCAGTGTCACAGAGAATATCTGAGTTCAAATACTCCATGGTATGTCCAAATATTCCTTTAAGGTGTGGTGATACTCTGTATTTTTAACCAGCCTTGAAAAGATTCAAATCCTTCTGCCAGGAGGTTCAAAGTGGTCATTTCAAGAGAAGCTTCATGCTTCAAATAAATATATTGCAATTGTTAGTCACAGCCTGTTCTCTGAAATTCTGGGATATTGGAGTTCCCTACTGGCCTGCAGAGCTGGGGTTCTGATTTAGGAGTGGTCTGGGCTGCCTCTGAGCCCTGAGCTAGCTATGCATATAAAACAATCCCAAAATAAGCATACACTATTTTAGAAAAGGTGACATAAATTTCACTGCATACACACAGACACAGAAATAGCTTCTGGAGCTGGCTGACCCTGCCTGTAACAAAATACCAGACTCTGCTGACCAGCCAGTGAAAACATAACATCCTTAGCCTCCTGACCCCCCTATAAAATTAACTTTGAAACATTTTGTTGATCTATAAAAGAATAACAGAGCATCTAACACCTATGAGTTATTGATCTCTCTACTAAAATTAGGCACCTCTAACCCAGTGGTTAATATAACACTCAGATAACTCATTGCCAGGTAATACCAGAGTCTGGGGGGACTCTCCCTGGTTCTGCCTGCAGTGGGTATTAACCACTAATCAATCTACAAAATGACAATAAACAATTATGAAAAAAAACAGAATAGAAAAACCTACAGATCCCTCTATGAAAAATAAATATCTAAAGCCTTGTACTCCTGTGAAAACACAGCACTTGCAACCTGTTGACCCAGTCAGGAAAGTGTTTAAAAATTCACATAACTCCTCTATAACGTCCCCTTTCCCCAAGGCTGGAATTCCAGGCTGGAGGAGCTACCTCATAACTTGGGCAAATCAGCTTTTCCTCCTGAAATATTACATGACATCTGTCATGCCCTCTATTGACCCACAAGTAATTGAAAGAAATTTAATGTCTGTACTTTGGGGTTTCTTCCAACACCAAAATATCTCCAGTCCTCCTCCATCCCCACCATTCTCATTCTCAGTGGTGAAATTAAGATTACTCACCTGCAAAAACTACTCCCTCTATAAACTTTGTAAAACTATAAATCCTCTGCGTGGAATTGGGCTCTGAAAATTTGTTGGGGAGGGAAAGAACAGCCAATCTTAGATTAACTAAAGCTTGGATGTTAAAACCTTTCTGAATTTGCATAGTGCCTTCAGCAGGCAAGGGGTACAGGGGAAAATATCTGTACAAAACAGAGTCATAGAGGAGCCGATGTCTTAAAGTGGAAAACTGTCATTTCAAATCATTGGGAAATTGAATTAGCACATACAGCTGGAGATTAGCTGTCATTTAGGAAGATACAATCAGGGCTTCAAAGGCAAGATATGAATTGCCTTCCTTCAAATTAGCTCAAGAAGTGTAGGGAAAAAAAGAGGTGTTTCCATTAAAGTAAGGCACTTAGCTAATAGCAGAGAACTCAGATATGCACCAAGCTCGTCAGACTTCATTTAGTTTTCTTTCTAAAGAGCAAATTGCAGTTTGCCTCAACAAAAATAACGAGCTGCACCTCAGGATCATTAGGTATTTTATCACAAATAGCTTTTTTTTCCATCACCAGTTTCACAAATTTGCTGTGACTGGGTGTTAGGTCTCTTTATCACTACTCCTTTGCACAGCACTTCAGAACAGAGGGGCTGGATCAGGTGGGCCTTGTCTTTTTTGGGCTTAACTGCCTTTCAATTTCTGAATATCATTCCCCAAAGTGAAGCCTCTGTGTGGCCTTGTGGGTCAGCTGCAGGTAATTGCTTTGTCACACTCCCTGCCCCCTCCCTCTCTCCCACTTCCATGTACTCAGTGCTGGTTTTATTCCTATTCCAGTGCCCCTATTCCCATATTTCAGCCTCCTGAGCATCACTAGAAAGGCCAGGATGCAGCAGCTTTAACTGAGCCATGGGAGAACGGGGAAATTTGTGGTTTGAATTGACTCCCCTTCCTTTGGTCCCCAAGCCTGTGTCACTGAGCACACTCCAGGCTTTCAGCTTTACAACCTCCAAATGACAACCTCACTATCCCATTATCCTCCTGAATTCTGATACCATTTTGCAACCCAAGGCAAAAGAAGAAATCCCTTAACCTCAAGATTTGCAGATCCTAACACAACGGGGCTCTGAACTTGCCAAGGGTCCCTAGAGCCTGCTACTTTCATACAGCTCATAATTTAATAAAAGCTGCCTACAACTACTCTTTCTTTTGCCTCCAGAAGCAGTTGGAGAAAGCAATGGCTTCTGTAACTTTTTCCCTTTTTTTTCTTTCTTTTGGATAACAGTCTTTTGGGAGAACAGAGATAACAGATGGGATTTTCTCCAGGATCATGACCCGGAGCTGATCAAAGGAGGGGAACGGGAAGAAGTGGAGGAAGAGATCAGAGTGCAGGTGTGCTTACAATAGCAAGAGGACACTAATCATGTGCATTACCTGTGTATATTTTTCTCCAGCTGTAAGAACTGGCCCTGGCACAGACCTTCCCTCCTTCCAGAGTCCCTACTACCTGTTCTTTGCTTTCACACTTGTTCAGCTGAACAATTGCCTGGGGTGAGGCAGAGCAGAAAACTGAGGAAGATTCCTCTGCGTTTGTCTTGAGCAGGTCGATGAAGTGATGCAGGAGAAACTGCTGAAGATCAAACAGGCTGTGGATGGAGAGACAGGTCCTCAGAGTAAAGCTGGGAAAGGTGTAAAGGTAAGAGCAGCAAGTTGGGAGAACTGAGGGGCAGTCACAATTTCCTACCCAGGTACAGTGGTGGTCAGTGCAAACCTCAATACAAATATCAAAATGTCCACCCTAAACATTTACTGAATCTCAAGTCAGGAACATCTGAAAATCTCTTCACCTGTGGGTGTTTTCAGGGCCTTCTGCATTAGCTCTTGTTCTTTGTATAAATATTGCTTAGGACAAGTTGAGCTACTCCAGAGATAAATCACTATGAGGTATTTCAGATTTTCACCCTCCTGAAATCCTTGGATGCAGTCAAACAGCAAAATGGAAGCAATCCCTCTCTTCAGGCTGACCAGTTCAGATTAATAGTTTTCCAAGGAAAACAGGGATCTGGAGGCCAGTGAGTTTTCCAGCTGCTGGCTGTTTTTCCTCCAGGACTGGTTATTATGTTTCAAGACTGTACACCAAAAAAATTCCCTCGGAATGTTTTGATGTAACCTTTCATTTGTCTGTAACACCACATAGATCACACACAGCCAGGTACTCATTATGTTACTACAGCCTATGGAGGGGTTTGGGAATTTGCAATTAAGCCAAGTTTATTTAGGCATAAAAAATAGGTTAAACCCCCCCAAAACACAGCACATGTCATGTTCACATCTAGTTTTACAGCACTGTCATATGAAGAATTCCACAGCTTGTGGTTCTCTAAAATTCCTTACCAAAGCATTTAAATTAGAGATCATGTCAGTGCAAAATAACTCAAAGCTTACACCCCACCACTCAATCAGCAGATCCACTTAAAACCCTCAGGGCAAATAGCCAACCCTAATCTCATGCTGTATTTCATTTCTGTAATACCTTTTAGCATGCAAATACTTGCTGTTGCTCTACTTCTACTCAAATTATCTTTAAATATGCTTTTTTTCCCTGACAAATGCCCAGGGACAATCTAACAAGAAAAGACTGGGACAGCTCTGAAAGCTGATCCCTACTGGATTCCTAAATCTGTTTCAAAAATAGGGTGGGGGCTTAAGATATACAGACAAAATATTGCAAAAATCTCCCCCAAGTTTTCATGGGCAGACACATTTAGATCAGCTGACCAGTGCCCTGCTGCAAAATGTCACACTGGAATTACAGAGCTTTATGTTAGGGCTGGGTTGGGTTGGTTTTTTTTCCTTCAATGTAGTGTTGGAATAGCTTAGGGTGGAGGGAGATTATTTAACTTCTATTTTCCCAAGTTGTGCCAGTAGCCTGAGAGAATGAGGCAGGAAAAGAAGCAGTAATTAGATAATACCAATTCCGTAAAGATTTCATCTTAAAAAAACCCCACCCAAGCCAAAACAGTTCTATTTGAGGACTGGGGAACAAAAGGAACGATGCAGTGTTAGACAAAACACATCTTCCCTGTGCAAAGCCATTTAAAATGTCCATTCAGCATTGGCAAAGGCCTTTTCCAATTAGTATTTGCATAAATATCTCAGTCATAAACCAAACCAGTGCATACCTGTGCACATGGACTGCAGATCTGCTTTAGGATAACCTGGTCTACATAATAAGAATAATATGAGCTGGAGAGTTGTGGAAATACCTCTTTAATTTATTATTCAGCAAAAAAATCTCTAATCTTTCAATCCACATATGAGGTCCCACATGTCTCCCCCTCAGTTATGCAGCATGAAATAACAGGTGATTGTTTCAGGTTCTCATTGTAGCTAGGAGCAGGTCTGGAGTGCAGTGTGAAAAATCCCTCTGCCAAAACAAAAATAAAAAAGGGGATATTCTGCATTCTCAAGCCATTCCCTCTGTTTTAGGGAGGGATTTCTTCTGCTCTCTTTGTCAGGGAATTGTCCCTACCAGAGGCAGGTGTTCTGTGCCTTTCCAAGCCTTAATATGAGTAGTTCACAACTCAGAAAATTTCTGTCAAACCCATATTAAAAACAAAAATCTGGGCTTTGACCCACAGGAACCAATCTGAGTTTTCAAGTCCCTTTTGTGGGGAATACAGCAAGGACATTTTGGATTCTAAAGGGAAATTTCTCCCCTCCACTCAGTGCTCCAGACAACTCTTAGCTTTGAGAAAAACAATATATAACAGCTCCAAGCCTACCCAGAGCCACTCCTTTATTTCTCTAAGTACTTTATCATTGATTCCCAAACCTTCAAATACCATTTGCTGCTAAAAGCTGACACTCAACCCTACCAAGAACTGCTCTTAGAGCTCCTGAAGATAAGAATCCCATTTGCCAGCTTTGTGGAAGAATAAACTTGAGTGAAAAAAAATTGTTCTTCTCATGACAGGTGGGTCTCCAGAGCAGTAGACTGATCTGGAAATAACAAAACTCATTAGACTGCACTTAATACTCACTAAACCACACTGCTGGGGTCAGAGATTCTGTGCCTCTTTCCAAGCTGGAAGCTTCCCATACCCACAGACTGTCCCACCTCTATGGACCAGCATAGACAGAGTGTCCTGGTTAAGAGACACACTTTGCTGGACTCTCATTCTTCCAGATAGCTCCTGCTCCAATGACTGTCACTAGAAAGGGGATGAGGATACAACAGAAACAGAGGAATGGGGGTCAGCTCTGCTGTAAACTGCATTTTCCCACACTTGGCACAGTGGCAGCTCATCCCTGCCCAGCCAGGGATGAGCAGGTTGGGACTGGGAGCACTGGGAATGGACAGGCTGGGAGATGTCCTCTGAGTGAGGAACATGGCAGCCACTGACCTGGAAGTTCCATTTAAGAGCTTATCAGAGCGCTTTCTCTCAAGCCCATTGTGCTGCTTTTCCTGCTCTGCTCCCCCAAGGATTTATTTCTGATCCCCACTGCAGGTAAAGCAGTGCATTGGAAATGAACACACCCACACATACACAAAGGCATGGCCAGGATTCAGGGGTGGGGAGAAAAGAGACACAGAAAACCCAGGAAAGGGAGACATGAGAACATAAGTGTGGAAGAAAACTTGTTTCAGAGCTTTGGAGATCCCTTCTGGGTGAAATTGGGCAGAAGCAAAGCACAAAGGGCTGTGACAGAAATATCAACAAGAGCAAAGCCATAGAGAAGGAGGCCAGAAGAGAAGCTGGGTGAGAACTGAGGAAAGGCTGGGTTTGAGGGCTGTGATTCCCAAGCCCTGCTGGATTTTCTTTAACTGCTGCACCCAGAGCTCTCAGCCAGCTGTGGGATCTGTAACCTCTTTGGATGCTGTGCCTAAATCCAACAGGGATTGCAGATCAGAGTCCCTCATTTCAGCAAGTTTATTAATCAGCAGGAACATCTTTGTCTAAGCACTTTTTCAGTGTAAGTGTCAGAAGCTGCTTGTTTTATCTCAGCACTGCCAGAAAAGGCTTCTCAACCCAGGCCCAGTGCAAATCTTCACTTGCTCAGCCTCCCATCTTAAGCATCTCACACGATGCAAGGAATCCACTAAAATGTATCAGCTGCTGGTTTCCCTTAAAAGCACAGGAGCACTCTCCTCTTGTTACTTTTCCACAGGGAACCTGCAAGAAACACAGAAAGGGATTTGTTACAACAGCATGTAGGGACAAGGAGGAACGGCTTCAAACTGAGAATAGGTTTTGATGGGATATTAGGAAAAAATTACTCCCTGTGAGGGTGGGGAGGCCCTGGCACAGGATACCCAAAGAAGCTGTGGCTACCCCTGGATCCCTGGAAGTGTTCCAGGCCAGGTTGGACAGGGTTTGGAGCAGCCTGAGATAATGGAAGGTGTCCCTGCCCATGGCAGGGGTGGAACTGGATAATCTTCCACACCAGCCATTCCATGATTCCATGACCCATGGTGGCTGTAGCTGCAGCCAGGACCTGTGAGATCACAGCCAAAGGGTGACACAGATCCTCCAGTTTCAACAATTTCCCTCAGTGAGACATTTGGATACCCTTCTCCCTCCTGGTGCCATTCCAGCAGCAGACAGTGCTCTGGAATTTGGTCTGAAATCAGGTTCTTGTCTGCTCCAACCTCTGAGCTACCCACAGCATTTTGCTGAGCCCACACAGCAAGAGGAGCCACCCCACTGGGCACAGGAGACAGCCCTGTGTCCCCACCAGCTGCCCCCTGATGCAGCTCCCTCCATGGGAATTATCAACTCAGAAAATCACCAAGTCAGGGGGTGGCTGCACAGAAGCTCAACAGACATTTCAGAGAGAGAAGCAAGGAGATTTCCATTATAAATGATGAGTGTGTTCACATTCATTAAACATTATCATTTTCTAAATAAAAGCCGTTCCCAGTAAGACATTTTGGAGGCAAGCCATTGTCTACAATTCATATTTGCCCTTATCACATCTCAGCCTGTGCCAAATTCCCCACAAATGCTGTTGTTAATTAGGAAAACACATTTTTCCTCCGCACCGTTCATTTTTGTTTTGCTCTGGAGTTACTTTATTGGTGAAGCTGCCTTGAGGACAATACCAGTTGGCCAATAAATTCAACATATGCTTAGCATCTTTACTTAGGTTGAAACAAGCTTTTCTTCCCAGTCAGACCCAAATATATGTAATTTCTGGTTTGTTGGAGGAGAGGTTAAAAAGACAAAACAGGAGGAACAGCAAAAATAAACCAGTGACAGCCTCAACATTTCTTCAGTTGTTAAAACAGCATGGCATGTGCTTTCTTCTTCCCATTCCCTTTCTTCAAAGCAAAATCCCCCTGGCACATTTGGATGAATATCTGCTGCCAAACTTCTTTATGTAAAGAAACCCAAGGTATAGTTCTCCAAATGCAGAGTTGTTTGCATTATCCTAACCCAAAATGTAAAAACATCTCATTTTCCCAGTTGGCTGATCCATATTGTGCTGGGTTTCAGCTGCATTTTCATCTGGATTATCTTTGTGGCATCATAAACAGTAACAGGTGATCGAACCACAGGTTACTTATGTTGTGTCTGTCCTTGAAAACCCAAAATTCATCTATTCCTGAAGGCTGCTGATCTATTCTGTGAAAAAGCCCAGCATTTTCCAGATAATTGGATAGGATTTTTTAAACTCAACAACACAGCCTCCAGAGCTCTGCAGAAGTATTCACTATTATATAAAAAAAAGCAAAGTAAATGGTTGTATTCCCAGGAAAGCGAACATAAACTTTTAGAAAGAATAAGCTGTCTTGTTCAACTAAGCATTTAAGCACGTGCTTAAATTTAAGCTGTTGGAGAAATCCCCTGGTGCACCAAGGTTTCTGTGTAAACAGTTCCACTGGAGCAATCCTGGAGTGCTTTGCAGGACTGGAGCTCAGACACCAGTGGTGGGCACTAACGTGGATTAATGATGCCCTCTCCACACTACTAATTATCCCTAACCATATTTATGGCTCCTGAGCTGTAATTAATGGAGGGGTTTGACAAGCCCGAGTCACATCTTCCTTATTTATGTTTGCCACGAGTTGTTTTGTAATGTGTAAAGAAATGAGGCACACGAGTCAGAAATCCTTCTGTGGTGAAATTGTGGTGAAAATGTGGAAAGAGCAGGTTGTGTTTTTCTGCCCTCTTCCAGCTTCTTCCCTGAGGCATTAGGAAAGAGAAGGATGTCCAGTTGTTAGGAGGGTAGCCAGAGTCTCAGCAGCTTTTCCCCTCAGGGAAGCTGCTTATATATATTTACTTCAATATATAGATAATTATTTTTATTTTTTTTTTTTTAAAGGCATAAACAGTCCCTGGAGCAGCTACTTAGACCCCACACCCTTTTCCTTCCTGCTTCCTTCTTGAGCAAGGGCCATGTCCCCCCTCACCCACAGAACTGTGCTCTGGAAAAATCATGGAATAAGAATCACACAATCGGAAAAGGTGTCTGAGAGAGCATTGAGCCCAGCCCTTAACCTGCACTGCCAAGGCCACCATTAAACCCTAGTGCCACATCCACACAGCTTTTAGATCCCTTCAGGCTTGGGGATGCCACCACTCTCCTGGGCATCTGTGCTAATTAAAAAAAAAAAAAAGTCTAATATCCAAGCAAAAGGAAGGAGAGGAACTTTTTCCCTTGCAGTAAAATGACTCTGGGATACTTTCCTGTGTAGCAGTGGGACTGCTGTTTAAGGATATGGTTTTTTCCTTTGGGCTACATTCAAGCACTGAAACATTGGCTGTTCTGGCCCTCACCTTGCTTCAGTACATTCAAAAGCATTTCTCTCTGCTAAAATCACTAATTCCTGCTTGCTTGTGCGGTCCTCAGGGAAGCAAGACACCTGCAAAGAAAAAGATACCAGAGCTGGAGAGAGATCTGACTCCTGACAGGTAAAGAGAACCTCTCTGCATTAGGTCTCCAATTTCAACCTTGGTTTTCCTCATCTTCACCAACAAACACAAGCTAAAATCCCCACTGTGCTATCACACACCACCAGGACCAGTCCCATCACCTCCAGGCAGGTTAATTCCAGTTTGCAGAGCTAAGCACATGGAGCATTTCAGCAGGATATTGGCCCTGTGTGCCTCTTTTTCCCTCTCTGCAGGTGCAGAAGCACCTGGCTGCTTTGTTGACTGTCAGATTTTCCATCCCAGCTGGAGCCTGATAAGGGAGGCTGCAGACAGGCCCCTGCACTCCATAAATCCCCCCCTTCATGGCTGAGCTGTAGGGTCCATGTCATAAATCAGTCTCATGGGTCAATAAGAGTCCTGGCAGACCTGGCCATTTCTTGTGGACCCTTGCTCTTTCAAACACTCTTTATTTGGAGGATCTGAGAGGATTTCCTCTTCTGCTCTGCCATTTCCAATGAGTGCTGTCTTCCCTGATAATCCAGTCATTTTTCACCTGTGCACACACCACAGGGTCCAGCTGATCCAGGAGCAGGGCTGGAAAAACACCACAAAGACAATCAGTGAAATTCACCCCACAAACCCATTCCTGCAAGAACAGCAAGACCCAAACTTGATCATTTGGGTGCTGGCACCACACAATCAGCCAATGATCTCTTTACCTGCTTTAAAATATATTAAAAAAAAAAAAAAACAAACCTCAAAAAAGCAAATATTTCAACTCCATGTCTCATGGATTATAGCAGAGCAGGACCTCTCCTACAGAACAGTGCCAAAGTCTAAGAAGGATGTGTATATTCCCTGCTTTTAAAACTGCTCTTGCATATACCTGCTTCTTTATATATAAACTTACCATGCAGCCATCTGAAAACATGAGCTTTCTAGTAGCTGGCTTTTTATCTGGCATTTTGGCTCCATGCTTTGCTCTTCCCTGCTGAGCATTTCAGAAATAACCCAGAGAAGGGATGAATAACTCAGATTCAAAATCTCCATTTGGGCCCAGCAAAGGGGGCACAGGGGGCTTCAGCCAACAAAGTCTGGTCACATCACACTCCCTTGGAGGAGGCTCAGGACATGCATCATTTAACTGGTACAGTAAAAATAATATACCAGGAAAAGTAGAAGTCCTGCTCCCACCAGAGCTGCCAGGTTAGTCCCATTCCACCTTCTGCCTGGTTTATGATGCATTCCCAACATAAAACCACTGAGGATGAAAGCAAGAGTCAGAGCAGCAAAATCAACCTCGTTGAAGGTGCATTATATTTTGGATTTGCTTATTGCTATTCCTACATTAATTGTGCCACTAAGACTGCATAAACATAAAACTCCTCAGCTGAAATGGAAAAAAGGCTGCAGACCTCAAATTATACCTGTAGGTTTATTAGCCAGCTGAGAGGCACTATTAAATATATTTATTGTAGCCAGACCAGAACATCCCAATTAAGATAGGTGAGAAAGACAGAATAATTGAGGGGAAAGAATGTGAAAGGTGTGCAAAAACACTGAGAGATCTGAAAAGATTAAAATCAATATTGTTTATGCTGTCAATACACTTAAGAATTTCTGACAGGTTTATTCAGCTTACATCATCCTGGAAGCAGTATGACTCTATAAAACCAAGTGCCAAAAGTGTCATTGAAATTAATACTTAGAATTCCAAAAGAGAGTGTAGAGAAGATCCACGAAAATAGAAAACCACACACAAATTTAAGTGTTTTAACTCCTTCACTATTGGGATCTACTTTCATCCACTAATGGAGACAGGGAGAAGCTTCCACTGGGGAAGTTTTGCCCATTTCATGGAACCCCAGACTGGTTTGGGTAGGGCAGGGACCTTAAAGCTCATCCAGTTCCACCTCCTGCCATGGGCAGGGACACCTTCCACTGTCCCAGGTTGCTCCAAGCCTGTCCAGCCTTGGACACTTCCAGGGATCCAGGAATGTTTTTTCCCAATCCCCCTCTGGCCAGCCTGACCTCAACACTGCTGGATCTGAGCGAGGCATTCCCAGCGTGTTCCCGGAGAGATGAGGCTGTCTGTTGCCAACACAATAAATTCCAAGAAGAATTAATGAATTAGTACTAATTGGAGAGCTGAGTGAATAGGTATAGTAGTGTTAGGATTGCCATTATTGTGTAATTTCACAATAATTTCCCGGTAATTGATATTAATGAATGAGTCCATTACACAAGTCATAACTGATCTGGCATCACCTGGAAATGGGTAAATGGAGTCAGCAGGAGAGGGGGACCCAGCGAGTGAGGGAGGGAAAGAGATTCCTCACCACGACACAGAAAGCTGTGCTTATTGATTTCACATTGATGGCACTAATCACTACTGCCTCTGAGCCACAAAGTGCATTTATAAAGCTGGGAAAACATAAATAACTCTCAGGCTGGCTCAGTTGTGAGAGGCCTGAGCTTTTCCTGACTCTTTCTGAGTGATGTCTCCTGCCTGCAGGACCATTGATTCCCTGTACCAGGAACTTGCAGAAGAAGGATTGCTCATCAGAGTGAAGAACGTGAATCTCTCTGACTACATTGGTAAAGTACCCCTCTTACAGCAAACGTGGTGTTTGATCCAACCTCCAGCCATTCCACCTCCACTCACCCCCATTTCAGTCAAGACCGAGTTCAAGAATGGCTGCACTTTGAATATCTAAAGCCAGGTATGCAAATCAAGTCTGTTTCTGTGGGCTGCTCAGGACCTTTCACTTCTGCTACTGAGCCCAGGTCCTGTTTGCAGAGCTGGTGAGTAACTCCAGGCAGCAACACCTGAGTGCCCTGAATGGGTGTGGATGTCACAACCACTCTGAGGCAGAACCAGAGCATCCTTTAAGGAGCAGTGGCAAGACAGTGCAAGGCTGACAGAGCAGGGGTCTGCAGAATATCCATGCAGAATATTTCCCAGAGAACAGCAGAAACTGTACCTCCAGCTTTTGTTGGCTGGAGCAGAGAAGGCCCAGCCCCTCCCCTGCACCTCCCTGACTGCCCATGAACTTTGAGCAGTGCTTTGAGGCATATCTGGCCCTTCATTTCAGTAAGACATGTCTCTGCCTAGTTCTGCATTTCACACTTCTCTTGTCTGGTTTCTGTTACCTGCAACTGCAGCCAGACCTGTTTAGCTATGCTTTACAGAGAAAAAAGGGGTTACAAAAACCCCAAACCCCACATTTTCAGACTTTAGAGGGGTCTAGCACCATGTCCACAAACACAGTGAAATCACAGCAGGATTCAGGCAGTTTCAAAAGCCATGGTTTGAATTTGCAGCTATCCAGAAGCAGTAGTGCTACAGCTGATACAAGGCCAATACAGAAAAGACAAATTCTCTTCTATCACCCCCAAATGCCATGTTCATATAAACTCTTAAAAGCACCAGTTCAGCCTCCAGAGCCTCTGCCCATTCCTCTGAAGAGCTGTCAATTCTCTGAATTAACAAGTGTCCCATCCATTCCATGCTCATTAAACACTATGAAGTAAAGGAAGGTTTTCATTCTTCCTTTGTTCTCCCGGCCTATCAAGGTCACTTTGGTCCAACAAACATTCCCCCACCACCACCACTTTTAAAACAGCACATCTCCAACAATTTTATGAAATCCAGAAAGACTCTTGGAGGGTCCCAGGACACAATCAGAGCTTGCAGAGAAAGGAGTCTTCATCTGCTCAGCCTTGCAGGGCTGCAGCCTCAGGAAGGTCACTTGCAGTTCCTGGGGAAAGGACAAAGAGTGGAACTGTGCTACACAGCCAGGAAAGGCACCGAAATGTCCCCCCTCTATGACAAACTGACATCACTGAACTAATTTTCTTGGTGACCTTATCTAAATTAGTCAGAGAATATCCACTGTGATTTATGTGCAGTTGCAATTAAACCCTTTGATACCTTCTAATTAAATCTGTGAAGATTAATTCCTATCCCGTTCTTTTGATTTCTCCTTAAATAAAAGATAAAACCTGAAATTAATTTTTCTTCAGAGGGGAGGGGGCAGTTGCACCAGGGCTTGTCTGCCTTTTTTGCCCCCAAATTATACCTCCACTTTTGCTCTTAACCACTGCTAATTTACCCCTGCTCCAGAGGCCTCTTGCCCTCTGCCTTTTTATCAACAGTAAAACATATTATTATTTTTCAATAATAATCACCATAATCACATGTAATTTATGCTAAAAATAATCACTGACTACACATCACAACTGGTTTTCCTGCTTGTGGCCCATCCCCTTGTATCTTTGTTCTCCAGCATTTCTTGGATATGGACTTTGACAGGGCAAGCAATGTGATTATAGCTCTATAACCAGAGCCAAGGCAAGATTAAATTGTTTCAGTTCACATCAGGGATTTTTCATTTTCTTGGGTTGTTTTGTGGAGGTTTTTGTTTTGAACAAAAAAAAGGCTGGGGTGGGGGGAAGAGGTGAACTGCAAAGCAGAGAGCCCCACCAAATGAGGTGACACGCTTACGCGACTAACACAGCGAGGAGCTGAGATGGGACCCAGCCAGGGAAAAGCTTGTTAAAATAGCTTTCCCCCCTTTTTGAAATCCTTCTGAGAGCGCATGGTTCACTGGGATTCTAGCCCTGCAAAATCCCAAATCCAGGAATCAGCCAGCAGCGTGATTTATGGTGCTGCTAATGATTCTTCTCCACAAAGTTGCTTTAAAAGGTTACTCGAAACCGTCTGCTCTCTGCTGAACAACTTCCACAGCTTGTTCAGCTTAAATTTTCCTTTGCAGTTCACCTTTCTCAGGGCCACATTCCACCAGAATATTGCCCAGCTTGAGTCCCTGAGCCTGGCTCTGCTGAGTGTGTGCTACATCCCTGCTCTGTGGCAGCTCCTCATTCCCTGAGTTACGCTTTTTACAGCAACGGTGTCACATTTATTGAGCTCCTGCTTCCTCCTCACAGGCTACTACGACTGTCTGAGGAACATCCCCCGTGGGACAGGTGCCCAGCCCATGCCCTCCATCCCAGAAGTCAGACAGCTCGTGACTCTCTATGGAATATTGCCCTTGGGTAAGAGCACACCAGAGGTTGCTTCCTGTCAGAAACGTGCATTTTACTGGCTTTGGCAGGGCTTGATTAGTCGTAATCTGAAGCATTTTGCAGTCTAATTGTTTTTCAATGAAGCCTTCAGAGTGAAGGCTGGATCATTTTAACAGCACAGAAAGGCAGGTATCGCCTCCCCAGCCCATCTCTGTCTGCATGGCAACAGTTTGTGAATGGCAGCACATAAAGGGAAACCACTGGGGAAAGATAATAGCTAAAACAAGCTCCACTGATCAAAATTAATCAAGTTAAGGGAAGGGCTAAGGTTGCAATTTACCTTTTACAAGCAGGCTAATGTTACTCAGTGCAGCACAGCGCAATCATTGAAGGAATTAGTCTGGATACATTTTGTACATCGCAGAGAACACTTGCAAATGCCCTTCCAGTTGTAATGTCAGGCTTAGCTAATACCCAGCGAGGCTTTGCTGGGTCAGGTTGTTTGCTTTTAATGTAAAGTCTGTCCCATATTTCACTTGGGAATGGCATTATGCCAAGCTCCAGGGATTGCAAGAAGTGCCTGTCTTGAGGGCCTTTACTCAAAACCTCATTTGTGTCCCTTTCCACTCCTGATTGGATTTTCCAGCCTCAATTACTTCAGTTGGATCCTTTTCCATTCCTGAGTGGATCTCAGGGAGGTTTTAACTAGGCATGTCCTGCCCCAGGCTGTGTCAGTGTCTGCTCATCCCCTTTAGAGGGCAAAATCACCAACATCTGCCCACCTCCCTCCCTGGAAAACAGAGCAAAGCTGACACTGAACTTCTGCTTTTCCCTCCTTCCAAAGGCCAGTGCTCAGGTTATTCTCTCTCCACCCTGGAACACCCTCAGTGTTTGGGGTAAGCCCTCAGGGGCTGGCTGAAGGTGTGACTGCAATCAGCTGAGAGAGCTCAGCAGTTATCCCTGTCTGCACAATGTATTTCACACAACCCCAAACTCCTCCAAAGCTGTGTTTTGACACCATCTAATCTAGGGCAATCAAGCCCTGAAACACCCCTTAATCAAGAGAAACCATACATTTTATGCCATTTATACAATTGGCAAAAATTCTACAGAGAGGAGACCCTGGACTAGTTAAGCAAACAAAAGGTATTTGCAAGAGCAGTTTGAAAAATATGCCTTTGAGTAAGAAAAGATATTAGATGAGCCAAAAAAAAAGAAGGTACGGGAATGGTTTCACCTATGGGGTGATACGTTACGGATGACATTTCACTTAATCCGTCTCCAAACTAGTTCATCATGAGATAATTGTGTATCACAGAAGTGAAAGTTTTTCTCAAAATAGCCACCCAATGGCAAGGAAAGCTCCAGCTGAAATGGCATTAAGAAAATTATAAGCAGCTGAAAGGAGAAAGAATAGTAGAAGCTATACTTCATCTTTAACACAGAGGAGTCTGCTGCTCCCCTCCTAATAAATCTTTGTGCAATAGTAATGGATTGCTATGGAATGGCCAAATATTAATAAAGCCTGGGTGGCTGACAACTTCCTACACTCTGCACCATGCTGGAATAATGGCATTTGTCTCTGTGCTCAGTTCACTGCCATTTATTTGGGATGTTAAACCATTAGGACTCAGATAACCACCCTGATTGGATTTGTTTTAAATAGCAGCTGTCCCCATTAACCCAGAGGGCTTCTCCAGGCTAAGGCAAAGGCTTCTTCTGCAGCCCAGCAGTTTTGGGGCCAGTTTCACTCCCACAATCCAATGGACACCGGTCTGAGACGCCTCCAAATGCAGTGGATGCTCACAGAGATTTCCAAATACGTGTCAACACCACCACTATTGACACAGCACATCTTTAGGCATCGAGGCAAAGTGGGCATGGGCTCCCAGTGACCATGGATAAAACATTTGACATTTCCTGCTACTCCCACCTCTGGAGGTTCACCTGTCCCCAGTTCATGTGGTGGCAGCTGCAGGGGAGACAAGTTCCACCCCCATCAGCCACCTAAATCTGTCTGTGCTTGTGTTTTCCCAATGTGATGCTTTCCCAGGTGATGGATCATATTTGTCACAGCCCAGGATGAATTTACCTGGAGCATCCATGGAGACAGAGTGTGGAAATGCTGAGCAGTCACTGCTGCAGGCACAGCAAGAGAAGCACAGCAACCTTGGCACTCGCATTTGCTCCAGTCTCAAAATCATTCTTTTAGCTCACATCAGTTTAAAACTGAAGTTTTCCCATCAGAAGGTACAAATAAGGGTGGACGAGTCTTGCTCCAAACAGAGATGTGAAATCTGCTGGGCTCTCAGCTCTGGTTATCCAGAATTGCACTCAAGAGCACTCAGAACATAGTAAGGAAACAATTAATTCACGTTATCAATTATTTATGGTGAATAAAAAAGGAGGAATCATTCCATTACCTTTATGGCAGATTTAAATGAAAGCAATAACAGTGCCTTATGACTTTTTACAGGTTCCCAGATCGTCCATGAGAATGCTCCTTTGGTGAAATCCCTGTTGCTGGCAGGACCTGCTGGTGTTGGAAAGAAAATGTTGGTCCATGCCATCTGCACAGAAACAGGAGCCAACCTCTTCAACCTCTCTCCTTCCACCATTGCTGGGAAGTGTCCAGGCAGGGATGACGTCATAATGATGCTTCACATGGTTCTCAAGGTGATCCAGTTCTTTTCTGGACAAACAGGGAATTGTAGTTTCTCCATAACAAGGAACATCCACACCTGGGGCAAAGCTGCTCAACCCAATTTGGAATTCCTCCCCTTCCTTCAAGTGTTCAAAACATCAGCAGGAATTTGTCCATGGCAAGGGCTGCCAGCCCTTGGAAGGGGCTGCCCAGGGAGTGGTGGGTCCCCATCCCTGGGGTGTCCAAGGAACAAATGGATGTGGCACTCAGTGCTCTGGGCTGATTGAAAGGTGGTGATAAGTCAAAGGTTGGACTTGATCTTGGAGGTCTTTTCCAACCAAAATGATTCTGTGATTCTGTGAAACCACTTGTTGACAGCCAGTGTGTGCAGCTCTGCAGAGGATTTAATGCCCCTGGAGAAATCACTGGGAGCAGCCATATTTTCCACATTAAGATTTATGGGAGCTCTGTGTTACCTGGAATATGAAAAGCAGCACAGATAAAGAAAATTCTGTTCTCTGTTTATGTGCACATCAGCCAGGAATGCTTGCCATGCAGCATTTAATCAAATGCTAGGCTGGGGGTGGTCAGAAATTTCCTCTCTGGGACTGTTGCTGGACAAGAGCTCTCTCCCCTGTATTGCACTCTGCCTATCAGCAAGCTCTTCAAATGAATGAATCCTGGTTCAGGTTTACAGGAACAGAAATGTATGAGAAGTCTGGAAATGAAAGCAGGCATATGAACTGTGAAGAACATAGCCCAAACCCTCCTCAAAAAAGAAAAAAAAATAAACAAAAAACCAACCAAAAAATTTTTAAAATACACTATCCTGGCAAGATTTCTTCCAGATTCTAAGTCCTCAGCATTTCTGCTCCAGATGGGAGCCGGTCAACATTTTCAGACAAAAAAAAGGTAGGAAAAAGCCAAATGTAGTATTTTTTCCAGTGCCAGTGGTCTACTAAAATTGGCTTTTTCTGGGGATTTATCAGCAGTATTCTATGGAATCCAGCCTTAGAGTAGGTTTTGTGACAGGTGCCTCCATTCCCAGAAAAGCCACATTTGGCAGTCAGGAGCAAAGCAATCCCCGAGGAGCCCGGTGACAGTGCTGTGATCACACACACCTTTGATGCTGTGGCACTGCACTGGGCCTGGCACTCCCTGACACGATTTAGAGCCATTATCCTGAGCTCACAGCCCCTCTTCTCTGCACATTTCACCTTTCTCCACTTCATTTCTCTGCCCTCATCAATGGCAGAGCTCAGGTCTGGCTGCAGGCATGGCACATGCCATCCTTGCCCTCACACAGTCCCTGCCAGAGCACAAGGACTTGGGGCACAGGACAAGTAAGGGAAGTCTTTTTACTCCTGGACAAGGTTCCAGCTGGAGATGGCAAGGGGTTTTTCTGTATATTTGCATATAAATAATATGAACAATGAGAGGATCATGCATAAAATGTGTATTTATAGACATTAATAAGCATATACACACACATCATGTATATGTGTGCCTTCAGGTACAGACAAACCCTTACATTTTTCCACATTAATTAAAAACAACTGGAAACACTCTCCAATCCCTTCCTTAAAATCATGGGGAGCACTCCAAGCTTATTTCTCTCTTCTTCAGCTCTTGCAAAAGACATTTCAGTGAACCCCCATGAGTTACTGGGATGGAGTTGCTCACAATCACATGGAATCAGGGATGTCCAAGCCTTGTTTATCTAAAGGTGACTTGTTCCAACTGCAGCAGCAGCACTGCTTCAAACTCTGCTGCTTTAACAGCAGAGCCAGTGGCACAGCACAGGGTTTCTCTTTCCTGGATGTTCAATCCTTCCCTGGGAGGGTGCTGAGGCCCTGGCACAGGGTGCCCAGAGCAGCTCTGGGTGCCCCTGGATCCCTGGAAGTGTCCAAGGCCAGGCTGGATGGGGCTTGGAGAAGCCTAGGATGGGCTTTAAGGTCCTTTCCAACCCAAGCCAGTCTGTGACCCTGTGACACAACACTGGCCTGTCCTAGCATCATTCAAATCCACTGAGTTCAGTTTTCATTTCCAGTTCCTCTGTTTGTTTCACCTCTCCCATCACCTTCTGTCCCCATGGCTGAGTCACCAGCACATCCCCATCTGCTGAGGATTTCAGCTCAGACCCTGCAGGTTCTCAGAGCCAGGCTGGAAACAATCCTGCACCCAACACCTCTGCAGATAAAATCCACCTCTTTATTCCTGACAGCACCAAATGTGCCTCTTCTCCCCTCTCTCTGGTCAAGTCCATGCAGCAACCAACTCAGCCAAATACCTGCCTGTGCCAGCAAGAATACAGCAAACACCTTAAAATAATTCATTATCCCTGTTATTGGGCATTTATGAGACCACAGTTGTGTGCAGTATTGGGCTGCCCTGTTAAACACAGACCTTGACAAGCAGGTCCAGAGGAGAGGAGATGAGGGGGCTGGAGCATGTGAAACATCTGGACAAATCCAGTTGTTTCAGGCTAAAATAAAACTGGAGTGAGAGGGAATTTAACTGCTGTTTTCAGGGGCTTCATGGGATAACACAGAGTCAGGCTTTGCCCAGAGGTGCACAGCAATGGGACAAAAAGAAATGGGCACAAGTAGCAACAGGGAAAATTGTTTATGTATCAAGGAGAGAGTTTTACGAGGAATCACAGGACTAGGAATCTCCTACATCCAGATTTTCAGGAATTTGCTGCTACCCAAGCTGAAGAAAAACACTGGGGCAATGCACATTCAAAACAAATTCCTTGACAAAAGAAAGCTGACCAGTGGTAACTGCCCTCCCCAAAAAGTTTACTTTTCACCATGGTACAAAAATCTGGTTATTTGGATTACTGTAAGACTGAACAGTGGCACATGTGGCAGACAAAGCATGGAAGGAGTTGGTATCTTGCAGCTGACATTAATAATCCCAGCTCTTGGTTTTATCTGACCCAGCACAGTACCCCTCAGCAGAGGGTCCTGTGTGCAGAGACCACTGAAAATCCCCCAAATCTCCAGAATCAGGCACTTCTGGGCAGGTTTTTTTGGTAACAGCAACTGTTGTCAAGCCAGCTTTGTACTGCAGCTTCCCAGAAGTGCCTTTATGGAGAGTTAGTCAAGCAAAATACAGACCTTCCACTGCAAGTTGTGAGTGAATGACAGGAAACATGACAGTTCTTTCCCTCTTATCTTCTGATCCACACAACCACTGTTAAACACCAGGATTTAGTACATAAGGATTAATGGTGCTCTGTGATAAAGGTGAAGTCACCTCACACTTTTGATTACCTATCCTATGTGCAAACAAAAGAGTTTCTGTAATGAAAGGAAACTCTGGAGAGCATAAAATGACCATTAGGAAACTTTTCTTCCATAACTGAAGTGGTGGCTGCTGGCAATTGTTTCGTGGGAGACGCCCTAAACAAGTGAATAGGATTGGGGAAAAAATGAAACTTTAATTTGTTTCAGATGCAAAAGCCAAATTCTCTTTTTTTTTTCCCCCCTCCCCTTTTCAGGGAGGAGACTTAAAAGAGACACAGCAACCCTGATCCAAGAAAGGCTTGAGAGTTACTCCAGGCAGGCATTTTAATGTCATTCAGAGGAAATGACTTCTCATACCAGAGCAGGAAAACACCAACATTTCAATCTGCCTATTCAGAGGAGATGTAAGGGAGATTGATATTGAATAGGAAAACTATTGAAAGAGGCTGAAAACACCAAGCTTGAGCACTTGTGTTCTCCATAAAGCCACGGCAGATCCTGCCAGGTCAGCTCTGCTTCGGAGCAAGAGTCTCCAGTATAATCTGTCTCCAGTAGAGAATCCCTTCCCAGAAATCCTCCCTAAAACAACCCTCACCCTTCAAGCGTGAACCAGAACACTCTGGAATATTCCAATTAAGCCCCATTTCCCTGCCAAGCAGTCGTTTGGCTCTCCTACCCCCCCATAAAATACGGGAAAGATGCAAGGAAGGGCAGTGAAGGATGCATGGAAGCAAAATCAGATCCAGAAAGGACCGAGGTGAGAGGGGAGAACATCTCAGCCACACAAAAGGGCAGGTAGTTCACGAGGTTTAGCTGCAGGGCAATAAAAATGACGAGCAAATAAAGCAGCCAGGGGGTTAATCACTAGCAGAGGGACACAGCCCCTCTCTGGGGGTTCATCCCCTCTTCAGGGCTGCAGCAGCACACAGAGAGCACATTGTGCCCAAAGCCACACCTGGGGAAATGTTAATAGTGCAGCACTGACCAGGCTCAAAGGCTGGGATAGAGGTGGCCAGGAGGAAATGCCAGCAGGGAAGCTCTGTGTGTGTTTGTGTGTGTGTGTGTGTCAGCAGCTCGCTGTGTGCTGTGCAGGGACACAGAAATATTGTCCAGAAATATTTCAACACCATCAGTGCTGGGGGACTCTTATCAGGCTCTTTAGCAAGTCAGAGGTGACTATAAAAGTGTTAGACCCAAAAGAAGGGATATGATGGAGTTGATTTAGATTAAATGACACAACCCCAGCCTTTAGAGGCAACAGAATTTTGAAGTCTGCCATTAATCTATTTTTTTTTCCCTACTGATTCATGTTCATTTCATAACCACTGCTGTATTGTCCCTTCAGACAGAGCATTTTTCTGGCAGGTTGAAGAGCTTGTCCTGGTACACTGACAGAATTCTTTGTGTGTTTAGCATTTCCATGCCACACAAGACTCTCCCACTACAGCTAAAATTTGGGAACAGTCTTTCCTCCAGCATCCAAAACAATTCTGCTCTTGGTGCAGCTCAGCCTGCTGGAATTCTTAGAAGCTTGAAGTGTCAAGTATCAACAGTGCTCAAATACGCAGTTATTTCTGTGAAAAAGCAGCTTGAACTTGTGTTACCCTAAGGTTAAAAATTAAATTTATCCTGTTGCAAGTCATTTTCTGCCTCACAAACCAGAACACAGTGGCATCATCACTGCAGCACGGGAATATTTACCTGCTCCCACTGATAAGGTCTAATCCCAGGTTTCAGTGCAGCATTTCTGGGCGTATAAAATGCAGAGCACTAAGCAGTTTTCAGCAATAACTTGAGCTTCCAAAAAAATCTTGGGCCTTTAAAAAAAAAAAGAAAATTCCATCAAACCCTTCGAGTTTGGAGGAGCCTTGTGCAACATGTGCTGGGCAAGAATCACATTTCTGCATTTTCAAGTGTAACAATTTAACTGCTAAACTCTGGCTCCCAGGTTTGAGAAGTTGAACCCAAGGCTCTCAAAAGTGCTGTTTGATCTTTGATGACTGTTGACAGCAGGATGAGAGGGGTTTTTATTTTGGTTTTTTTTCCCCCATAATGATTTTCCCGAAGAGCAAATCTCAGTGTGGTATTAGAAGGGTTAAGGGGCCATCTGCTGGCAGCTCCAACAAATTGTGGAATTGCAGCAAAGCTAATAAAATTTCAATTACAAATTAATTATGTACAGTGCATTTAATTATCCACGGATTCAAACTGTCCATGGATAATTCAAATGGAGCACTTTCATGGGGGGATGTACAGATCTACAGATCTGCCAACAATTTAAATTAATTCCAATGGATTCTGGGTGTCTGATGTGGATTTACAAGAAGAAACAGCCTGCCCAAACACAGTGTGTTGAATTGAATTGTATTAATGTCTATTAACACCTGAAAAATCATGGAATGGTTTGGGTTGGAAGGGATCTTAAAGCTCATCCAGTGTGCCATGGGCAGAGACACCTTCCATTATCCCAGATTGCTCCAAGCCCCATCCAACCTGGCCTTGGACACTTCCAGGGATGTCACATCCACAGCTTTTCTGGGCAAAAAAATACATGCAGGTCATTCTCCACATTCAGCTCTTTGCCTCAAAACAGAATTAGGAAGGAAATTCTCTCTTTAAGAGCCAAAACTGAGGTTATATATTGATATTTCTACTTAGTGAGGAAATAAAAGGGGCAAAGAAAATGAAAGGTGTGACAACAGTAAGCGCTCTCCTGTGAGAGTTAAAATGAAGGTGTAATCTGATTTCAGCCTTCAGGCTGCGTTTGAGGGGGCTGCTCACCACAGAAACCATCTCCAAACCAAACAAGGAATATCTGCAGCTCCCAGCCTGTGGTGACCCCACCAAAAGGACAAGACACCAGCAGTGTTCAACCTTTGCCAACAGCTTTTGTAGCCCCTGTAACCTTCCCCCTACCTTTATTTCCTTGTCACATCCCACTGCAGCCTCAGGCACTGAACAGGCTCCCCAAGGACGTGATACTTTTTCTGATATGTTGTTTTTATTGTTTTTAATCTTCACTATTAACACTAAATATTTGAGTTCCTGACATCCAACAAAGGAAAAAGCTCAGGAAGGACACTGATCTGTTGGACTGAGTCCAGAGGAGGCCACCAATCTAATTAGAGGGATGGAGCACCCCTCCTACAGGGAAAGGCTGAGGCAGTTGGGATTGTTCAGCCTAGAAAAGGTTTTGGAGTCGCCTTAGAGCCCCTTCCAGTGCCTGAAAGGACTGCAAGAAAGATGGAGAGAGGCTATTCACAAAGGCCTGCAAGGACAGGATGAGGGGGAAGGGGTTTAAACTGACAGAGAATAGGTTTAGATGCAATACTGGGAAGAAATATGTGAGGGTGGGCAGGCCCTGGCACAGAGAAGCTGTGGCTGCCCCTGGACCCCTGGACAAGTCCAAGTCCAGGTTGGACAGGGCTTGGAGCAATCTGGGACAGTGGGAGGTGTCCCTGCCCATGGCAGGGGGTGGAATGGGATGAGCTTTAAGGTCCCTTCCAGCCCAAACCATTCCAGGATTTACAATCCAACTGTTCTGGACTTGGAGGTATCACTGGACACATTCTAGGACTGAGCAGCTGCCATCCATAAAAGTGTCACACGCTGAAGGTGGCATTGCTTCCACTTCACCCCAGCAGCAGCACAGCAAACAAACTGCACATCCCTCATTTCCTGCCCTCCTTCCCCATCCCCAGCCCATCCCTCCTGCACAGACACACTCACTCTTTGAAACACGGCAAAAATCAACGGCAGTGCTGCGAGCGACGATGCTCACAACTTAATTCTTCCTGCCTGGCTGTCAATCAGACAGGAGCTTGTGATGTACACAGGCCATGGATTTTGTAAGCTGCCTTCCTGGAAGCAGCAGTTTCAACTAGGGGGAATTAAAGGGGGGAAAAGAAAAGGCAGGATAGAAGGATGCTGTGCCTCTCTCTCGTTACCGCTGACTACTCGAGCCATCACTTTTGTTGCTGAGCAAACTCTGAGAGCCACTGGAAAGTGATTAAAATTTGGCAGCAGAATGTCTAAACCTCTGGAACAGCTCAACCTCTGGCGTTTCTATAGCAATGGGGAAGAGTGCAGGATGTGGGAAAAGCCTGTAGCATTGCTGCCATCCTGCTGTGAACCAGAGGTATGGTGCCTCTGACTTTGGAGCAAGAAAATCCATTTTTGGACAATGCCCCCCCCCCCCCCCCTTTTCAAATTTCATTCTTGGGCTCACTGCAAATTAAATACTGGAGTTTCAATCAGAAAATTGACAAAGTCTTTTGCTTAATGATTAGTGCCCTCCCTCTCATGCAACAGCATGACATGCCTTGCCTGTCTCCCCATCCAGAAATCCAGGGTGGGATCCCAGCCTCAGCCTAAAGCTGCTCTTGGACTATAATTTTCCACTGAACACCAAATCCAGGCTTCATTTTGCAAGATCACAACTGAATTTCTGCTGAGAAGTTAAAGATAAGCATAGCAGACAAAATGATCCAGCTTGGGGTGGGCTCTTGATGCTCAGTTCCTAACTAGAAAGAGTTGGATTTGCCAAGGCTGCTGAGCAAATGTTATCCATGATTGCTGCACATTCCTGGGGATAAAAAATAAGCCAGGCTAATTGAGCTGCTGAAATCTGGATTCAAAAGCACAGCAACAGGCTCCCAGGTATGAAACTGCAGCTGTTTTAATCAACTCCTTGCCTTTTCTCCCCCATTTTCTCCTAGGTGGGCAAGGAACTGCAGCCTTCAGTCGTGTGGATTGGAGACACGGAAAAAATGTTTCCCAAAGGGGCACCGAAGGGAGAAGAAGAGGTGAATTCTTCTTTATTTCAGTGCAGATAATTTCTCCTGTTGCACTAGAGCCCACACAAAGGAACAAGTGTATTCCTTAGCTTAGCACATACCTCTATGACCAGACCTGCCAAAGCTTGCTTGATAATAGCTTGTCTCGCTAACTTTTTTTTTTTTTAAGCTTTTAAGATAGTCTTGTGACTTCTTAAGAGCCCCCAAGAGGTCACATTTCTCTCTTCCACCTATCCTTGCTTTATTTAAAAATAGTCCAGTCACTGCTCATCAGTGCACTGGAAAGTAAAAGGGAATAATAGAGAATTTCAAAATATGAGGCAAGGAGCTAAAAGTTGAGATGAGCTTAAATTGTTCAGCTCTATTAATTTGAGAAATTGGATGGAGCCAAAGTGAACAATAAAGTAACAAGGATAAATTTCCACTGCAAAAACAAAGAGCCTGTGTTGAATAGTTACAATTACAGATTATTTTCTTTGGGCTCCCAGGAGTCCTAATGCCACTGCTTCCATTTCTTCCTCTCCTGTGTGGCTTCCCCATTGGAAAGAAAATTAAAAGACTGCCCCACAGTCACAGCAACAACACCACAGCAGGGAGCAATTTGCCCCAGTTCCTGTTGCCTGCAAAATATTTTGCTTTTAGAGCTTTATGTGAAAAATTAAACCTTTTTTTTTTAGAGTGTCTGTGGGGGGACAAGCCTGTATTTTGGAAAGGCAACTCAAGGCAACCCAACCTTGGCTGGAGCTGTTCCTTCTGCCAGGGCTGGGTGAGGTGATGGGTGTGCAGTGGTCGATGCCCTTAGTGGTCCCCACAGTGAGAAGGAACTTTTCTCTTGGGTTCAAACCCTGGAAGAAAGTGCAGATGGGGATTAAAATTACGATTAGAGGCCAAAACCAGCCTGGATTACTCACGATCCTTGCTTGCTTAGCCATCACTGTGGGAAAATTTCTTGTCCTGCCCACTTCAGAGTCCCTTGGTGGGAGCCTATTGGCTCCAGGCTTGGAATCCCACACATCCCAAACTGTTCACAGCACATCCAACGTTTAGAGGGACCTGGAGGGACAGGCAGAGGTCAGGGGAAGTCTCTTAGGAGTGCTGGAATTTTGGAGAATCATGGAATGGTCAGGGTTGAAAGAGGCCTTAAAGGTCATCTTGTTCCACCTCCTGCCATGGGGCCGGGACATCTTCCACTAGACCAGGCTACTCCAAGCCCCAGCCTAAAAGATGAGCTAAGCTCAGCCTTCAGAAGCCAAAGTATCAGTCATGGTGCTCATCCCCAGGTGACACTACTGCCACCAGGAGTAAAACCATGAGCTGGCTCACCCTGGCCAGCCCCAAAGGGGACCCTCAGCCCCGGGGCTGAGACATGCTCAACTCATTATCTTGATTAAGCAATTGGCACACTTGGGAAAATGCATAGCATGACTATGAGAAGAAAAGGAATGATCCACCAGATGTATTGTGCTAAGACAAGCTTATTTAGGGGGAAAAAAAAAGGTGCTACTCTACCCCAAAACTTGTGGGAAAGCTTATTGATTAGCAGTAATGACACCACAACAACCTGATGAGGCTTCTCCAGCCAATATTCACTTGAACATTATCAAATATAACCCTCCAATAAAAGGTTTTGCTCAATACTCATCTGTAAATATGTGTTACAAAGTCAAGCAGTAAATTATTGCAAAGAAATGAACCTCGAGCTCCCAGAACCTTTGTTCTCAGAGCTTCAGCAAGTTACAAAATACAGCAATAAACAGGGAGTGTATTTTTCACACTTAGAAGTCAGAAAATCATAACCTCCAAGAGCTGGGAAGATTCCCAGCTGGGTTACAATTTTCTACCTGTCGAGGTTCATCAGGTGTGCAGGTCCCTGCAATATTTCTCCTTGAGCTGAAAATAAGGATTTCCTTCTTTGAATTAGTTGTTTCCTTCCTGCCTTTCAATAACCAGACCAGTAAATTCAGTAGTGAAAGGAGCTGGCACAAAAACAGAAGCAGAAATCAAGTGCTTACCTGAATTTGAGGAAGCAGTATCTTCCTACTTGTGTTACCTCATCTGCTCATACCAAATACAACCAGACCACTAAAAAAAAAAAACAACAAAAACCCCAAATCCTGTTGCAGGCAGCAGGTCCAGCTCCAGCTCATTAACTCTGAGCTGTCAGCATCCTTAACAACTCTTTCCTTGTCGTGTTCCCACGTGCTGCAGGTGAGCGCCAAACGCCTGGCAAAGTTCCTGCCCCAGTTCCTGAGGGCTCTGAAGCCAAACCACAGGGTGCTGCTCGTGGGGACCACCAGCAAACCCTACAGTGCCAATATGGGACCTTTCTTCAAAGTTTACCAGAAAATCATTCTCCTTCCGAAGCCTGACTACCTGACAAGATTTGGCAAGTATTTCAGGTCGTTCTCGTTATCCCAGTGTTTCAAATTCCTGCTCGTTAGCTGCTTATCCTCAGAACTGCCCTTCAGCTCAAGCCATGCCCCTGGTGTATCTCAAATCCTCCAAATTTTGCTTAAATCAATACAGGCTACTCCAAAGGCCAAATAATAAAAGTGGAAGTTGGGATGTTTAAAGTTTAAAATACTCTTCACCATCAATTCACATTTTTCCATGAGTTTAGTGTGCACCAAGCTCAGCCTGAGCTGATTTCTCCTCCATGTATGAAACACAAAATCCTATTTCAACACACATTTTCTATTTTAAGCTTTTATTTTTAACACAGGTATTCTGAATATCTGGTTCCAGTTTGTAGTTCTGAATTTCCAGTCTCCATATTCTCAACAACACAACTTCTCAGCCTCTCCAAAACCATGTCAGGAAGATTAAATTTTCTCTCACACAAATCCCACTTTTTGTGCTCCACAAGAGAAATTGTACAGGCATCTATGATTTTGCATGCCTGGTCTATCAAATGTTTACAGTGATAGACAGACCCTCCCAAATTCTGACAAATTCACTGAATATTCCATGTATTGAGACTCAAAGCTTGTAAGGAAAACAGGGATTTTTTTTTTTTTCTTAGCCATGTAAATTGGTCTAATAAAACAAACTTCCAATGATTTGGGATTTTAAGCACCCAGAAGTCTGCAATAAAGAGCAATAGAAGAAAACACTTTTGGCTCAGGAACCTTGCCACACCTTTGCTCTGTCCACAGGGTCACCTTGTAACAAAACTCTTACAAACACGTTGCGCAGTCCAGTTTCATCCTGCATCCCTCAGGGGCAGCCAAGGTACCCAGGTGATGCACATCTGGGCAAGCCCAAGACAGAGTTTGGCTGCCTAGCACATTGTAAATCTCTCCCACATTCCGTAATTTTCCTGGTGAGGATGGGAATTGGTCACCAAGCAAGGGAACATGTGTTTCATGTTAGGTTACAGCTCTGAGGAATTGCTGAGAGATAAGGAGACATGAGCAAAACCTAGAGAAAGGAGGTGACAGCAGCTGAATTTAGCTGTGCTCACTTCTGGGGGTTGAACTGTCACATTCTGGGACTCTCACCACTAACTTGGAGTCCAAAAAAATGGCCAGCTCAAGAGATTTCAACTGCACACTTAAGAATGTCCAAAAAGTGGCATTTTAAAGCAGAACAAATTTGTAGCTTTAATTCTTTCACCCTGCCCCATTTCACACAGTGCCTGGCTTGTTCTTCAGCTCCAACCTTCCCTCGAGTTCTGTGGAAATAGGATCTTCACCTCCCCATCCTGTCAGTTTTCAGTGCCTGACACCCCATTTGAGAAGGAAAGAAACTCATTTTGACAGAAAAATAACGACATAACAAATACTTGTAAGGCACAATGCACAGCTACCTGTCTGCTGCAGCCCTCCCTCTGCTTACAGACCAGAGTATTCCAATCTGTGCTCAGTGGGAACAGTAAATACACAATGGAAATCATTAAACTGGAAGATTCACAATCCCATACTGATTTCTTGCCATTAATCACCCAGGCAAGGCAGTGCCTTGTGTTACACACCTGCACCAGGAGCTGCAGCACACAATATATGAGCGTGCTTGCTCTTGTGTGCATCAATTCCTCTTTTATGAATTAGTGATGCAGCCAATATTTATTGAGCACAAGTGCAATTCAAGTGGGAGACCACAATTTGCTGGAGTGAGAAATGCAGTGCAGAGCTGTCAATAGTTATGGGCTGGAGCCTGTGGTATCGACATCGCAATCCAAGGAAGAGGAAGGCAGCTTTTCCAGCAGCATCAACTTTCTCCCAACATCTTCATGCTAAATCTGAGCACACCACACTCAAAATGTCTCATTCAAGGGACTTTTTAACCTCTCATCCATAATCCTCCCAGTTTTTCCAAGTATTTCTATGTAATCCTTTAAAGCAAAGCCTGAGGAGACAACATCAAAGTTCTCCTAAATTTCTCTGAAACAGACCCTTACTTAACATAAATCAAAATATTGGTATTATTCCTATTTTCTGGAAGCAAAATCTCAGCTACTTCACAACCCCAAAGAAAACAATCATGGCACAGAGGTTCACAGCTGAAAGATACAACCAGGTTCACCTTTTAAATAACAAGTAAAACCCCAATCACAGAAAATTTGCACCTTGCAGCACATGCCTGCATAGCTGGAAGCCTTTGGGACATGGAGGTCCCCCAGCAGCCCTCAGTTCAGCAGGAATAAACTGTGAGGAGGGTCAGAGAAATAAAAACAGGCTGTTGGTAAAGGTACTTAACTCTGCACATCCAAATGGGAATGCTGGACAGCTTCTGTGTAGAAAAGTAGCATTTTTCCATTTTTACATGCCCACCTCACTTTATGTGCCCTTAACGACATGCTGAAAAGTACTGAGTGGTGGCTAAAAGTTATCAGTAAGGGTTTAAAAACACATGTGCCTAAAGGCCTCTGTGCTGCAAATCTGAAGGTCAAGGAAAGCACACACAAAAAAATTTTTAATATTGGCTTTCCCAATCGATAGCCCTTATTTTCTTGTTTCAGTTCCAAAGTAAATAATAATAAAATCTCTTTCTCCTGCTTTCCTTTAAATCCCTGCCTTGACATTGTCTCTTTTCCATGTCCTGATGCTCAGCTCTATGGAAGCACTACATCCTGCAGGCTGGTGGGGCCCTCAGCCGGCGGGTGAACCTCAACTGCCTGGCCCAGGTGTCGGATGGCTTCACCCAGGGACACGTTGTGGACGTGGTGCACACTGTGCTCACCGAGCTGAGGCTGCTGCAGATGGCCAGGAAGCCACTGAGGACTGCTGAGTTTGTCACTTCTCTGGCCAGACACGACCCAGTGTACAAAGAGGAGGAGGAAATGTTTCAGGTGACTTCCAGAGCTCTGTTGTCTTTTATCATTCCCTGCCAGGTCCAGCCACACTTGATGTAGGGCTGTGTTCACTGTGCTGGTGGCTGGGCACCTCACTATTTGAATGATGTGCTCAACACCACCAAAACCCATCTCTCCCAATCTGGGGATGTGCCAAACCAGTCCTTATTTTGGCAGCACAGCTGGCAGAGTGCTTTGGTGAACCTGTGAATCTGCTGCTGCTCATGTTGGGCAGAGTGGCTTCCACGTGCATGGATGAAACACACAGGGGCCATTAATTCCATGCATTTGTCCTTTTCCTTCCAGCAAGCCTGGATATATCACCTTGAGAAGGCAAAGCACCTGGCCATTCAATGTCCACACAGGGATCAAGACCTAAACCCTTCTCTTAAATCATTTCAAACAAGAATTTCTTGAAAAGTTTTCACTTCAGGTTTTAAAAGAAATGAGTTTCTGCCTCAAGCTCCATCCCTCTTCTCTTCCTGCCCTCAGGGCTTATAAAATCCTGAGGGCAAAACTGAGAGCACTTGAGGTGTATTTGATTCACTGGCACAGGGTGTCCAGGAAAGCTGTTGTTGCTCTGTGGAAATGTCCAAGGCCAGGTTGGAAGGGGCTTGGAGCAACCTGGGATAGTGGAACGTGTCTCTGCCCATGGCAGGGGGTGGAATGGGATGAGCTCTAAGGTTCCTCCCAACCCAAACCACTCTGTGGTTCTGTGATTCTACACGTGCCTTGAATATCCACGGATCATCTCCAAGCCCGAGAAATGCTACAAAATCCTTGGCCACTGGGCAGAGAGCCCTGCTGTGCCCCAGGGAGCTGCAGGCAGCCCACACCAGGGGCTCCAAATGAGGTGAGACCTGTGTACTGCTCCAGGAGACCCCAAAAGAGCTTTCTGCATCCCATACACCCAGCAATTTCTGCTGCTTACAAACCCCCCACTCCTCCTGGCTGAGAGGTTTCCTTGTCTTGCTCTTTGAGTCCCCCAGCACCTCCCACCACAAACAGGATGCTGATTCTCACAACTTTCTCCAGGGCTTCTTCCTTCCACTACTGACCTAATGGAAGTGGATATTTCTCCCAGCCCTGCTGAGTACTTCCCCATTTCCATTTGGCTCGCTCAACACAGGCAGCATTTGCAATATTTGGCAAATTACTCTTTTTTTTTCTTATTTTTACCTCATGCTTCTTCACTAAACCAATATCTCTCCTCAGGGAAAGGCTAATGGTTCAGTGTTACAGCAAAGGGAAAAGAAATACTCCATCTTTCCCAGCTCCAAGTAGTAATCCATTTGTACCCTGAAACACGAGAGGAAGTATTTAGTGGGAGTTTAACTTGAAAATAATCAAAAAATCCCAGTCACTATAAACCGTGCCTGTTTTGTGCAGCACAAAGTGCCCAGGCAGCACTTCATCTGGAACACAGCTCAAATGATCCTGTCCTCAGCATCCCATGGCAATCATCTCCTTGCATTAATTACAGCCCTTACAAAAGTATTTCCTTTTATCTGCTGGAATTTTGTTTCCCTTAAATGTCATGGAGCCTTGCTGCAGCACCTGTGATATGGCACAGGGGAAGAGGATTGTCAAAATAGCCTTGTGCATTAATTAACTCCAGTAATCCCCATCTCTCCTCACACAGAAGCCCCTCTTCCCAAGCTTCCAATCACTGCCATTTCTGGACCTTTCCCCTTGCTTTGCTTTGTCCCTTGTGGAAGTGGGGCAGCTAAAACACTGTGATCAAAGTGAAGATTAGCCCTGTGATGAATCTTTGATTTTTCTTCCCTGAAAGCATGAATCTCCCAGTCTGACATTTATATTCTGCCAGTGTTCCAAAATGATTATAAATAATGCAGAATTTGTGACAATGTGATTTCTCCCTTCCATTTACTCAAATTTCTGCCCCAATTACATGTCCACATTTTTTGAAATTATAAATTAGTGCACCAGGGTGGTTGTTACAAATCCTTATACAGAAATGATTTCTGGAGAGGCAAAGCCAGCTAACCCCACCAGTTCTGCCTGGTAGTAACTGGACAAAAATCCTGGAATGGTTTGTATTGGAAGAGACCTTAAATCTTACCTTGTTCCACTCCATTCCATGGGCAGGGACACCTTCCACTAGACCAGGTTGCTCCAAACCCCATCCAGCCTGGCCTTGAGCATTTCCAGGGATGTGGCACCCACAGAAACAACAAATGTCCAAAGCCTGTGGACATCATTCCTCCAAAAACCAATATTTTAAACAAAAACAAATATTTTAACTCTGATGAGTCACTGCTGCCAGTAACTTCCATCTCCAGTTCAGATGCTGGTGATAAAATTTTATTGTATAATTATTTATTATGGATTTTATTTTAGCTGTGTCTGAGGAGCTGACTTCACTCATCTATGGAACAGTTACACCAGTTAGAGACAAAAAGTTACTGTTGTGCACTGGAATATTTGCACAAAGAACTGGGAAGAGAACAGAAAGAAACATCCCAAGTCTCTTGGCTTCTCCTGCCAAATGCCTCCGAGTCCTTTGCCAGACCCAGAGCTGGCAGGGAGATGCTCACCCCACCAAAGAGCCCTCTCCACCCCACCAAGCTCACAAAAAGCTCTTGGCAAGGTTTTCCTACTCTTTCCACCTCCTATTTAAGGTCTAGAGGGTGTTAGAGCCAGGACACAAAACTGAGGGGAAAATAAAATGCCTGTGGCCTGGTGGAGTCTCATCCAGGGCCAGAGACATCACTGGGTTCTCCTGGCCAAGGAAGGCAATTCCTGCTGGAGCTCAAACTCACAATCACCCTCATCCCTCTCATGGGAAGAGCCAGAAGCAGCAACACATCCCAGCTCTGTTATTCTCCCCAAACCAGGAATAGTTTGGCCTAGGACTAAGGCAGCAAAATTCAACTTCACTGAGAGCCACAGGGTTCCTGTCCACCACCACTCACACCCTGCCTAGATGTGGGCACACAGGAGGCTGAAGGATGTTTTTATCAGTCAGAACAGGGTTTTTGGTGGGGAGGTGCTCTGCTAATTCAGATGATTAGTGCAGAACTGCAGTGTCCATTTGATCCCTGTCAGCCACCTGCTGACAGTGTTTATCTGCAGGGTGCCTGTCATCATCAGCCCTTCCTGAGGCCCTAAAGAAGCTCTTGAGAAGATGACACCAAGAAGGACCATCCAGGGTCAGGAGAGGAGATGTTGAGTTTTCCTTCCCTATATTCTTCCAATACCTCTTCTCCCAGCTTCTCTTCCTGTAACACACACTGGGCAACCGGACAAGGCAAATTCTCCAGGGATGCCTTAAGAAGCTGGAGGTGGAAGCAGGATTTGGGATGGATCAGATGGAAAAGGCCAACTATGCAGGATCCCATTTTGAGAGGGAGGTTGGAGATGACATAGGCAGAGGAGGCAGAGATGTGGCATTGAATAGCAGCCCATGGTGAAAAAGGGAGGCATTTTATCAATCATGATCAATGCCTGGCAGAATTTGAATCTGTGGTTTAGGCAGGACTTTGTTGAGAAAGGTTCTTGTACATACAGGGAAGGAGTAATTCCTACCCAGTGCTGACTCTAAAGCCTCCCCTTCTCCTTCACTTCACATTATTCTCACACAGCCCAGGAGCTGGGCAAGTCTGCAGAGCAACTCCACCAGAATCATTCACAAGTCACAGCCTGTGAACAGGCATCTGAAAGCAATAAACAGGTTCTTAATGTTCGGGGTTTGTTTTGCTTCCTAAGCTCCCTCATCGAAATCAAAGCTGTCTGCATCGATTTGCAGAGGCACGAGAAGGGGATGATTTGTCTGTTGCCAAGTCTGGAGCAGAGGGAGCTCTGACAAGAGCTATATTCTCTGGAAATAGGGTTGATCATGGAATTTAACATTTCCATAACTATAGCAACACAAATGGCCCAGCTAAGTATTGCTGTTAACGAGACTCAGCTCAATCAATTGCTGCACTTCTTGGTATAAAAACGTTCTCAAGAGATCTGAGAGTTTCATTTTGGCTTCTCCACCAGCCAGCCTGGATTTAAAGAGTTTTGGTTTTTTTAAAGAATGCTCTGTAATAGTAGTAAAAGGTTTAAGTGGTCTGTCTTGCCTTGGGATTTTTGGGGGTTTTTTTTTTAAATTTTATTAAAACATACAAATGCTTTTTAATTCTCCAGGCCTGGTATGCCAAGACACCGATTGGGAAAGCATGGAGTGCAGCACAGGAAGCAAAGGAAGAAGAAAAAGAAAAAGGAAAGAAAGGAAAAGGGAAAAAGTAACTTCCTCGAGGATTTTTCACCTGTCCCTACCCAGTTCACAACTTTGCTTCACTGGGAAGGCATGGCAGATTAATGCTCCTCAAGTTACAGATATTCCAGGGGAGAGAATTCTTCTCCAAATTAATTTTTAAAAGTTTAAAAAAAAAAAAAAATTAGATGAGATGTAACATGTAGCTCTCAGAGGATAAAGAGTTAATGACCACTGACTTGCTCAAGCATTATTTATTCTAAGAGATTTTAGGGGGCAGAAGGGTTCATTACTCAGGCCTGTAACATGCCATCAACTTTTAGGCTATACTCATTTATTTCAGCAAGTAACTCTCCTTAAAAATTGATGTCAGTTTAATGTCTTTCATTACTTTAATATCCTATATGCTTTATAAAACTAACTGCTTTATGTATCTGTGGGTCTAAAGCATTACAGTCCTCAATAAAACTATTACAGCTATAAAGACTGCTTTTTAATTGGGATGGATTAGGAGGCACTTTGTGCAATCCACCACAAGTTGAATATTTACACAGCTGCAGGAGAAATTGCACTTGCACCTTCTGAGGCCTTAACATGCACAAATTCATACATGTGGGTGTCAGCAGAAAAAAGCAAAGCAGCTATGTGCTAATTCGAGTGGATGTCCACCAAAATCTGTCTTTAATCTATTTTGCTGTAGAAAAGAATGCCTAATTAGCTTGTTTGCACAAACTGCAATGTGTTTGTTGCTTAATGCACCTTGTTTATTTACAAATCAGCAATTTTGAGGGCAAAGGATTTATAAGGAGTGCTTAGAACACTGTAAAGCTTTGGGCCATCCTACACTGATGGAGCCAGCACCACCTTCATGTCAGGAACAGGATCATATTCACCATATTCATTTGTATAAATGAGAGCCACAAACACCTGTTTTCCCCTCTGATCACAGAATTCCTGTGTGGACTTGACAACAGATAACTGGAAATACATGGCCCACCATCCCCAGGGAGTTGAGGAACCTCTCTGTGTCTGTATCCCCTGGGAAGGTGATGGTATTGTGCCACTCTTGCTCCTAAAAAGAAATCAAATGGGAATAGGCACTCCTGGGAACAGGAATGCCTGAGAAAAAAGGCCTGGGAAGATTCCTGGGTGTAACTAACTGCACAGAAAATTATTCAAGCAATTGTAGCACTGTGCACAGTGGAGGGAATGGGATGGGTCTGGTTAATAAAGGGAATTTTCTCCCTGTAGGCTATCCCAGCACATAGGCAGTAAGAGAGGAAATTCTTGTTACATCTCCCCTGTGCAACCCCTCAGGACATTCCTGATGGACACCAGCCCTTCCCCCAGCAGTAATCCAGCTGCTGGAATCTCCACATGACCCACACAAGAGAACCCATGAGCTGCCAGCCCCTGGGTTCAATCCATTGCTACAAATGTTACTTTTCCATCCCTTTTTCTCTGGAGCAGGCTCCCCAAACTCAGCAGCACACCCCAGTTTTATCAAATAAGGTACTTCTAACTTCATCCTAGGGGAGAAAAGCCAGGCTCTCCAAAGAGGTGACAGGGTTTGTGTCTAAAAACCCCTCATCTCTGCTCTCATCCACAAGGAAACTAATTTGGATAATTCTGCCCTCAATCTTGCTGACAGCGGAACCCTCCTCTCCACACCAGGTTTGACAGCACGGCGTGATGTGATGAAAGGACCACATTTCAGGAGGATGTAAGCAAGCCCATTAACTCATATTTCAGCAGCTTCACTGCAATCTCAATAGCAAAGTAAGAGCAGCTGACTGGCAACATCCATCTCCAGGGCACAGCGCCGACCCCGTGCAGGGGGGATGCTGAACTTCCACAAACCTGCAGGTTTTCCCCAGTATTCTCCAGTTCACAGGGGAAAAAACCACCAGGGAATTTATCCTTTAGGTGTAGCTTGCACTGGGGGATGCTTGCATTTATTTCTTTCTGTGAGGCTCTAGAAGCCACAGCTGGTTTAGCTACAAACATCTCAGTGGGTGCAGGAGGTGACAGAGCGGTGGTGGAGCGTCCCAGGCCAGGTTGGAAGGAGTCCCTGCACAGGGTGGAACTGGTGAGATTTAGGGTCCCTTCAACCCAAACCACCCCTTAAAGGAGAAAACCTCTGCCCTGTGGGGCTGCTGAGCTCTTGCTCTCCTCAGCTTCTTGTGGGGACAGAATGAGGAGCAATTCTAATGCTGTTTATAATTATTATTATTATTAAAGAGAGTGCAGCTGTTTGAAAAATGAATGAAGCAGCTGCATCAAGCAGAGACAACACACAGAGTAATTTCAGTGTCAGTGGCTGAATTATTCAATGAAGTGGCCCTGGCTGGATCCCCAATATCCTTCCTGCTGGGAGACTCTCACAGGAACACCTCTAGAAATGCTCCTCCAACACCTCCACCCAGACATCTTCCATGGAAAGAAGGTTGTGGCTTTGTTAAGCCCAGCTCAGCTGCACTCTGCTTTCCAGCCACAGCATTCCCACAGTCTGATGGAGGAGGAAAATCCTGCCTCCTCCAGCCAGCCAAAGGTGAGCTTTGAGGGACAGCAAAGACAGGGGCCACAGCTCTGCCTCCTGCTCTGGAGGTGGCAGGCAATCCAGCAGCAGCAGCAAAGTTGAAAGAAGAAGCTGTCATGCTCATTTATATATGTAAGTGATCTAGAGAATTATCAGCTAAATTATTTAAATGTCCCATTACTATTAAATTACTGGGCATTCATTGTAAGAACAGTCATAATACAGTAACTAATTTGGTATTAATGTGAATGTCAGCGTTTCATTGCAGTTATTTTGTACTTCATCATCAGATAATTTACCAATAAATTAATTGGCTTAATTGCTTCCTGCAAACCCATGAGAACCACATATGACACGACTTTTGTAAAAGTCTTCATTCTCACTCCCCCATCCTCCAGTTTAAACCACACCAAGCAGGAACCCCTCTTTGGAACACCTGGAAGGGGGAGCAGAAGAAATAAACCCTTGGCATCTCCCTGCCCTGTGGGTTTTAATGTGTTTTAAACACAGCACCCAAGGCCACGCTTGGGAACAGGACACAGGAAACAGCTTCCCACAGCCAGAGGATAGGGATAGATGGGATATTGGGAAGGAATTATTTCCTGTGAGGGTGGGGAGGCCCTGGAGTTCCTAGAGAAGCTGTGGCTCTCCCTGGACCCCTGGAAGTGTTGCAGGCCGGGCTGGATGGGGCTTGGAGCAGCCTGGGATAGTGGAAGGTGTCCCTGCCCATGGCATGGGGTGGGAAATTGATGAGTATGTGCTGTTCTGCCTCCTCACCAGTACCAGTCCAGAAACTGGGACTACTGGGATTGCCCCTGCCTGCCTGAAAACCGACTGCTCCAGCACTGGCGTTTTTATCAGCAGCACAAAAACTCTCTGGCAACCACTGCAAGTCTCCCAGAGCTCCCATCCTCCTTTCCCCAAGAGCTCACAAAAAGTTTTCTGCTGTTTTCTTCTCCAGGAGATGAGGGGGGAAACTCCATCGAGAGCACAGTGGGGAAGGACAGCTCTTTCCTCCTGTTCCAGGCTTTAAATGTTTTTAACTAAGTGAGCAGAGCTCTTCCGCAGAGTGCAGCAGGCTCAGTGCTCCTGCACCACCAGGGAGGGATCAAAGTGACTGCAAAACGCTAAATCTTTATCGATGCTCATTTTCCCTGCTCCTGTGCAGTCTGCAGCACGCCAGGCAGGCACAGGGACCAGCTCCAGGTGGGAACAACCCCAGGGAATACACCACACCCTCCCTGAGACGAGTCCCAAGCGCACAGCACCTGTGGCAGTCCGTTATTGAAGTTGCCATCAGAATTAAAACACAAGCCGACGTTTCTCAGCAAAACCCCCCAAATCCGGTAACACAAAGTGAAGCTGACTGTTCTATTAACTCCCATCCTGCATCAGCAATTTTCTAAAGTGTGGAAACATTATAATTGACTTTTCTGCTAGTAGCAAAATGTCATTTTTCCTTAATACTCCCCAAGTCAGTAACGCATTTCAAAAGCCTCCGATGCCACTACCACAACAGGACTCACAAATTAGCACATTTTTAGCTTTTCATTAAACACAATGCCAAAAAAAAAAAAAATAAAAAAAAGGAAAAAGGGAAAAAGTCTTCTCGTATTAGGGTTTCTCTCCTCATTATTGAAAGTACTGCGACTTTGGAACTTCTGGCAGCAAATTATAATGCACTCAGCCTGGGGCCATTGTAAATCAGGGCTTCAAAAAAGGTGTCATGTAGTCGGGCCCTCTTCAAGCACTGAAAATATCGGAGTCTATTTGAAAACGCCTTCTGTAGTCTCTCACTAGCCTTGCAAATCAGCACAGCTACTGGGTAGAGCTGCCTTTTATTTTTTTTTTTGCCTCGTGGCATCAAGCCATTTCTATTCCGACCAGAAAAAGAGGATTATTTCGTGCTGGGATTTCAAATAAAAAATAAAATAAAATAAAAAAACCTACACCTAAGATAACAAGCTGCATAAAATCCCCAAATCATTCGGGGCTCTTGTTAGGGTTTGGGCAGTGCCTGTGGGGCTGTTACAGCCCTGGGCTGAAATCCCTTTTCTTGGCACAGCAGGGAAAACCCTGGGGGATGTGCCAGGACAGAGGGAACCACATCCCACCCCAAACCCCCCCAAACCAGGTGCCAACTCTGGGGCAGGGCACTGCCAGGCTCTGCACCCACCTGCCCTAAAACCAAAGGATGGAAATGTCAACGCCACATGACTTCCAACTTTTCCCAATCCTCTGGAAATTTACTTATCCCATCCCTAACTTCCTCTCCAAACAAAACCACTCAGCATCCCACAGCTCAGACCCACCTCTTGTTACAAGTCTTGATGTTTTAAGTTGCTCAAATTAGCAAGAAAAGCATCATTAAATGCAGACAAAAGCAAAGGTAGAGAGAAGTCCAAAATAAAGCTGTTCCCTTCCCAGGAGGGCACCTCCAGAGTAGCATTTCCTCTTCCAGCTTCCTCACTTTAGGTTTTACCCTGCTGCATTTTCCCAAATGGGATTGGCACCCAGGATTAATGGAAACATGGGAAGGGGCAAAGGGAACCACGGCAGCACCAGAGCACAAAATAAGCAATAAGCACCAAGGAGAGCCTGGAGATGAGAGCCAGGTCCCACCAATGTGGAAAAACAAACTCAAGGAACTCACCTTCATGTTCTGGAAGGGCCACAGCTTCTGCATGGATAGAGCTGTTCTGTGGCTGGCAGGAAGGAAAAGGATTTCCAGTGCAGCTTTGGCCACCAGAAAACCAACCAAAACCAAGGAATTCTGCATCCAAGGCTTTTATCCGCTCAGTGGGACACGTGCAAATGGGAAAGCCAAATCACTTGCTGGCCCTCACAGCATGGCAAGGACACAGCATTATTTGTGGGATTCTGTGGAGTGAGAAGCCACCGTGTCTGCCCACCAGCAAAGGGGGATTTTGGCTTTCTGAGTAAAAATAACTCGAGTTCAAACTCCGGGAATCTAAAAAAAAAAATAAAATTTAAATTTAAATAAATAAATAAATAAAGGAGGGGAAAAAGAATGGGGTGAAATGAGGAACAAAATCAATAAATACTATTTGGACAGCAAGGGAAATGATCAGCTATTAAGACTGGACTGGGCATGGTGGGCTCTAAACGTCAGTGAAAGTTTAAGCAGATGTTAAGGCCTGGGTGCAATCCTGTCCTGTCTTCAGGAATAACTGGAGCAGGGAAAGGGCTGGGAGATCAGCAGGAGATGGGAATCATGCAAACGAGCCCTTAGCACCACTCAGCACAAAGTTTGGGAAGTTACTCCCATAATTAATTACTCACACAGCTCCATCCCAAATGGCACCACTCTGCTCCCAAAAAGCTTCTCAGGGAGGGGAGGGGGTGCTGGGCAAAGAGAAATGCTAAAAGGCATCAGGCCTGCCTGAAATGTGGGGGTTTGGTGTAATTTGGGGGTTTCCAAGCCCGGTGGGAACCCGTTGTGGTGCCCCCCACATCCCCCCGAGGGGAGCAGCCCCTCCTCTCCCCTCAGGGTGGGCTGGTGTGGTTACACCCGGTCCCAAAACCTGCCCCATCCTCACAGTGACCCACCCAGCACCCTAAGGCAGGCTCCTGCCCTGAGCCACCGTTCCATTTTATATTTACAAAGCCAGCCTTACTCCCTCAGATGTCGCAGTCCCGGGAAGCCGCTGCCCCGCCGCTGCCGCCGCCTTTCTCCCCTCAGGGACGCCCCAGAGGCCCGGGCCCCGCTCCTCCGTGTCGGGGACAATGTGCGGGCCCTGGCCGGAGCCAGCTGCTCTTCCCACCTCACAACCTGTAATTTTCAGCCCTTACCCCACGGGTGATGGGAAGAGGAGGCAGAACACAAACCAGGTGGGTCCCTCCTGCAAGTGCAGCTGCTCTGAGGGGAGGTGGAGGCCGTGATGAACCGGGTTAAGGCCCCGCTAATTAACACTGACAGGCCGAGCTCTGATGTGCCCAGTGGAAAAGGATAAATCAATCCCCCAGAAATGGGTGTGGGCAGCAAGGGAGAGCTGGGTTTGTTCTTCTGCATCCCAGAGGGCAAGCAATTATCTCTATAACTTTTTAGGTAGGGTGTGTTCGGGAAGCACATCCTCCAATCCATAAATAACTTCCACAACTACCTGGCACTTTCAGGTGTCAAAAGCTGATTGTGCTCAGGAGCAAAATAATTGGGTTTGACATGAAGCCAAGTCACTTGTTGGAGCTCCTGGTGGCCATCCAGCTCCTGTTTCCATCTCCCATAGCAATGACTGTGCTGGAATTCCAGCTAGGGAATGGGGTGAATCTGCTTCAGATTCCACAAGTCAGGGGGAAAAGACTGGGATCTGAGTTCTGAAATGCCCAGTGATGGGTCCTCACCTTATAATCCTTTATAAAACCCTTTTTAGGTGGCAGTCTGTGAGTGGTGGTGTGACACAAAGCAAATCAAAGATTGGTGTGTCCCACCCCAGGAGGAAATCCCACATTACAGACCCTACAAGGAGCCTCTAATCCCTGTAGAGGAGACATGTGATGGAGAGTCAGCCCAAGCTGGTTTTCCAGCCTGGCACACGGGGTGACATTCCCTGAACACATAACTCAGGGGTTAAATAACTGGGAGGGCTCCACCTTTAAAAGAGGATGTGCCCTAGGACTGAATTCCCAGAGGATAATTAACACAGCTGCAGCTCTTAGGCAGAGAGGTGGGGAGAAGGGAACCCTTGAATTTTTACTTAAGCTGAGAGCTTTTTCTTTATTATTATTCTTATAATTGATGGGAAAAGAGGGGAAAAAAGGGAAATAGTGCTGGTATAACTGGAAAGAGTTTGGGGAGGGGTTTATTGAATTATTTACATCTGACAAAGATGGGCCACTATAAACTAAGGGTAGCACAGAACCTTTCCATATTATATAGAGCCGTTAAAGGGAAATGCTTAAATATCATCTAATTTCCAATAAAACCTGGACAAAATCAATGCAGCCTCTGGACGAGTTTATATTTCACAGCTTTTAAAGAAGGCTGAGCAGCAGCAGCAACATCTGCCAAAGTATTTGGGGGGGGGAGGTTAAAGGCATGACCCCCTCCCCAGGCACAGGGACATGTGTGTTGGCAGGGGCTCATCCCACAGCCCGACCCAGCCACATAACTGGGCAGTGCTGTCACATGGAGAGCTGCAAATATAAATGTGGGGACGTGTGGGGCTCTTTGCAGGGTGGCACCTGGCTCCCAGAGAGGCACTGAACCTCACTCCTCACTTTGCCTGGACAGGGAGAGTGATCCAGGGGGGATGAGCGACCACCACCCAGGAGAGCCGCCCTCACATCGCTCCAAGGTAGGTTTGGGGCAGTGGTGGCTTGTCCTGTAGCGTGGTGGCATTGCCACCCCACCTGCCCACCCCTCCATCCTGCCATCACAGGGACCCTGTTTGAGTTATTTTGGGGGGGCTAGGAAGGGTTTAAATCAGCCACTCTGGAGGAGGCAGTGCTGCAGGCTCCTGCACCACACTGGAAATTTCCCTGGAAAAATAATAATGATAATAATGCTGTTCCCTGATGCCAGAGGGCAGCTGTAAATCAGGGTGGTGGTGCCAGGAGCTCTGCACGCCTGCACATCTGGATGTTTTAACAGAGCCTGGCGGGTTTTTGGAACCAGGAGATCTCCCCAGAGTGAGGACTGAGTTATGTGGCAGCTGAACTTGGGGGACGAGCTCTCTCTAAACCTTTTTGCTGCTGCGTGTTGTGCTCCTTCCTATGCCAGGAGTGAGTTTTCCTGGTAATGGGAAGCTGGAGCAGGCAATTTAAGCTGTTATTAATAGACACACTTGATCTGAGGAAGGGAAATGCTTAATGTTTTGTTCAATGAGGTGTGCTCTGCAAACAGTCAGGCGCCGGGAGAAGGTGAAGATGCTCCCCTTGCGTTGGGGATTGATGAGGGCGAGGCTACAAGCGCTCACTCTCACCCCTTTTTGGGGCTCTGGTCTGTGCAGGGGCATCCCTGCTGAAGTAAGGACACAGCGGGATGATCCCAGGTTTAATTTTTGCAGGATCCCTCAGATCCTAAAGGATCACAGGGCTGTGATGATGGGTGATGTGCCCAAAGCCCTGCAGCACAGCAGTGGTAGAGGAGAGGCTTGTGGGGTTTCCTCCACCACCCAAACTTGCTGCCTGAAGGCAACAAGTGCTTTACAAGCAGTTGAAGCACCCTAATTTTCTTTCTAAACCCCACCAGGGGGTTCTCCCCCTGCTCCTAGCCAGCCCCAGGATGTTTCACAGTTGTCCTGGCTCCTCTCTGCAGTAAATCCCACCTGCCTGTGCAGCCACATTCCCCTTAAATCCACATCACTTCATCCCGACATCACTCTCCACTCCTGGGTGGTAACAGCACTTGACTTGGCTGGCAGGAGCTCAGACTCCGGGGTTTTGTGTGCCAAGGGGACCTTTTCTCTCTACTCTCGCTGTCCCAGGCTATTCTTAACCTCCTTCCTCAGCCATGAGTTAATCCTTGAGTGTTTATATGCAAATAGGTGCTGATTGAGAAGGGTCACGTCTCAAGGGCAATTCAGTGCCAGACACACACCCCCCCCCAATAACAAATTCAGCCCAGCTCTGACCCAGAAGGTCTGGACTCCCTGCTAAATTTACCCGGGGAGGTAATCCCTGCCTGGGGAAGGTGATCCCTTTGGCGTGAGCAAGGACATGTGAAGGCAGGATTCCTCCACGTCACCACAGAAATATTACAGGGTTGCTACTGGGAGGAGAGGAAAAGCAAGCCAGAGCTCCAGGAACGTGACCCAGGACAAGTTCCTGAGGTAAATGATCCCTGTCTCTGCTGCTCCCTGGATCTCCAAACCTTCTCCTGTACTGGGGGGATAATGAGGGTGTTTTTCATACCAGAGCAGCGCTTGGAGGAGGTGGTTCCGTTAGTACCAGAGGGGAAAATGGGCACAGAAGGGCTGCTGGGTGGGAGCAGAACAGCAACAAGTGAACAAGCAGAGAGAAAAATGAGAGGATTTGGAGGCTCCAAACCAACAGAGAGGTTGTGGACAGCCAGGTGGGAATTCCAGCCCTGAGACAAAGGGGAAAAGAAGGAGAAAACAGGGAAGACCACCTAGGATGGCCTCAAATTAACTCCCAGTGCTGCTTGCCATGGATAGGGACCTTAAGGGTGGTCCTTCACCAAGAGCCCCTTAGCTCAGCAAACCCCATCCTCCATGGACACAGCCTGGAGTTTTTGGGGCTCCATGCCCTTCCCATGGTCTGCAGGTGAATGTCACCACAGCCATGCTGAGGACACACACAGGACACTCTGGTGGCTCTGGCAGCATGGCCCAGGGATGCTCAAGATCCCCAGGAAGGTCCCAAAATTTTCTCCCAGGCTAAGGCTGACTCCACACTAGCAGGAACCACGCAGTGTTCCAGTTCTGGTTTAACATCCCAAAATCTGCTTTGACCAGGTTTATTCCCCCAGGAGGTGGATGGGAAGGGGAGGCTTTGTCACCCAGAGCCTCCAAGTCACGAGGTGCCAATCTCTATTGTCATCCCCACCATGGGTTTCTCTGGTGACCTTGAGGAAAGGCGCCTCAGGGAGGTGGGAACAGGGAGAGCTCTGCTGGCATCCAATGGCAGCAGTGTCTGGGTGCTTTCTCTCTCCTATACAAGGCACTGTCGGGGAGAGCAGCTTCCCCTGCCAAAGCCCCAGAAGGACTTGGACCTCGCTGCTCTGTGCAGGGACATCCCAACATTCCAGGCTGGGCCAGTAACACAGAGCCCAGATTTTTTCAGAGAGCAGCCACAAGACTGGAATCTCGTAGGAGCACCTTCATAAAAAAAAGAAAATAGAGGAAAACCTCCCAGAGCTCAGAGGACACAAATAAGGTTATTGGGAATGGAAAGCAACAGTAGCTGACTGAATTTCTTTTTGCTTTTTTTTTTTTTTTAAATTTTCTAAACACTAGGCCTCACTTTCCTCCCAGCCTAAACACACCTGTCCCAAACTGGAGCCTCCAAATAATCCAGCAATTTAATCCAAGAGGTGCTGCTGCAGCACAGCCTGGTGACCGCCTGACCCTCATTGTACCTCCATGCCCATCGTGCTCCAACCCCTCTGGAATTATAAATACTCCACAATAGAGCCTGGACTGGATTATAATTAGACAGTGAGCCAAGAGGATGGAAACAATGAACTATAAAAGCCAGGCTATCCCCTCAGCCAGGCCCTGCACACCAGGAAGCACTGGAATGAACGAGTCACCGGGAGCTGTGACGGGAAAGCTGAGGATTTCCTCCAAATTGGACCTGGAGCGTCCCTTAGCACCTCGTGCTCCCATCTCCAGGTTTTACACAGCCCTGGTCACAGGAGACCTGAGGAGCCTCCAGGTCCTGACTGAGCGATACCACCTAGATGTCAACCTGGTCTTTGAGATCAGTAAAAACGAGCTGGAGTGGCAGGTGAAAAGCCAAGCCTCTTATGGACCCTCAGGTACTTTTCCTTTAAAGGCCAGGCCAGGAAAATGAAATAAATGGGTATCTACTAACCCTAAACAGGAGAGGTGAAGTGGATTTAGGTGCCTTAAGTGTTCCCAAGGTGTCTGGTTAGTCCATAGTTCTGGCCATTAATATTCATCACTTTTAATATTCTCTTCTGCATGTACTAACCCAGTGGAGATGTAAAAATCTGTGCATCCACATGATTTCTTCAGGCTGGGATTCTGTAGCTTGGGAATGCTTTCAGGAGGGCTCACAGCCCAAATTCCTCATGTCTGGGAGGGAAAAGATGCCCCTCAGGATGGTGGTACCTCCTGAGGTGATGCTCCCCATGGTCCCAGGTGCTCATGGAGCACCATGCCCAGGAGATGGTCCAGGAGTTCCTGGAGCTGCTGGGAAACGCAATTCCTTGCTCTGGCTGATCCCAAACCCAGCACATCCCAAGCCCAGCTTTCCATCACCCACCCAACACGCTCCCACCTGCCTTGGGTGCCTTCACTCCCAGCAAAGACAGCTTTTCCTTTCCTGAGGAATTCATGAGCTGCCTTTTAGCTCCTGCCACCCACTTGCCCACAGGACTGGTGGCCAGCGGGGCGTTGGCTCGCCATCCTGATTCCACACGAAATCCTGCTCCTGGACGAGCACGCACCGAGGGAGTTTCGTTTCCCCTCTTGCCAACTGTGGCCCACCAGAGAGAAGATGGGAAAAGCAGCGTCTGGAGCTGGTTCAGCCACCGGGCTGGTGGGCAGGGGGTGGCAATCCAGGGGCTGATCCCGTTCCCGTGTCCCGCAGGGCTGTGGGCGCTGGAGGAGAAGCGGGAGCTGAGCACCCCGCTGTGCCTCGCCGCCCGCCACGGGCACCCCGACTGCCTGCGCCACCTCCTGCGCCACGGGGCCGACCCCAACCTGGCCCCGGGGGGACGGGGACCCCTGCACGAGGCCTGCCAGGGGGAACACAGCCACTGCCTGGAGCTGCTGCTGGAGTACAGGGCCGACCCCAACCTGCAGAGCGACGAGGGCACGGCCCCGCTGCACCTCTGCACCAGCCGGGGCTCCCTGCGGTGAGGAGAGGGGCCCCATCAGCATCCCACCACTGGGCTGCCCCTGGAAGGTTGGATGGGGTTTGGAGCAACCTTGGGATAGTGGGAGGTGTCTCTGCCCACGGCAGGGGGTGGAAGGAGATGGGCTTTGAGGTTCCTCCCAACCCAAAGCGCTCTGGGATTCGTGATACCCTCACTGTGCATCCCCTGTGCGAAGAGCCCAGGAGTTTTGCCTGTGGGAAGCGAAAAAGATGCCATGATCCATGGCAAGGCTTCCCACATGCTCCCACACCTCCCAGCTGCCACAGCAGAGACAAAAACAAAAAACAAAAAGGACATTTTAGTGCCAGGCACATTCTAAGTCTTCTTCCCATGGACACGAACAACCCAGCCTCTGTTTTTCCTTCATCCTCTTTCCTGACTATTTCTTCTAAAATCTGCATCCCCAATCCAGCACATTTCCCCCAGGAGATGCTCAGGATGTGTTTATGGGATGTGCAGCAGTGCTCCCACACCCTCACCCCACACAAGCCATGTATGGATTCACCTTGTTTCATAGTCAGGGCTGAGGCTCATCCATGTGCATCCACATCTCCCTCTGGATCAGCATCACACAGATGAGCACAAAAAATGCCTGGAAAAACACAGAAAAATATGTTTCCATAAGACTTTAGGTGCCTGGATTGTTAGACACACAGAATCAAGATATTTTCTCTTTTTTTGTTTTTTTATAAAGAGCTCAGCCACTTGAAATTATCCTGATAAAACTGCTTAGGGCCGTAGTGAATTCCATCACCTCCCAGCTTCCCTGAAAAGCCAGCCTGGCTTCAATCCAGGCAGGCAAGATTAACTGGAAGTAGGTGGTGAAAGCAAGGTTATATCATGGACCAGACACAGGGAGAGAGTTCTGGAGAAGGGAAGCAGCCAGAGAAGGAAAGACTTGATCCCAGTTCATAAATAAGAGTCTCTGCAAGATGTCCAGAATCAAACATTAATCAACTTCTGGTCCAGCCAAAAATCTAGGGATGAATCCAATGCATCCTTGGTGCCATGAGGGCTGGAAGGAGTGGGATGGGAAAGGGAGGATGCTACAAGCAACTCTATGATTAACAAGAGCTGGCTTTAATTCCTTCACCTGAGCTCCCTTTACACCTTAAACTTCATCCTCCATCCCCATCCTAAACCCCCAGTGCTTTCCTGATTTTAGGCTTCTCCCCCTGAAGAGGTGGGGAGACCAAACCAACCCAGGGCATGCAGAGGATGTCCTGGACCACAGAGGTCCAGGTGGCCTGATTTTGCTTCCAAGCTTGGAAAAAAATAGGATTTTTTGCATGTATCTATTAAAAACCGGAGCTGTTCCCACTGATTTGCATGTTCCATTCCCTTGGAAGGCAGAGGGGGACGGCAAGTGAGCCAGCACAGCCACCAAGGGGATCAGACAGTCCCAACGTGGCAACAGCTGAGTTGTAAGCCCTGGAATATTGGGGCTTTATAATGGAAATGCTGAGAGCCCCTTAACTACGGCTCCCGGCGCTACGGGGGCTTCTACAATAACTAAGCCAACTCCCTTGAAAGATCAAAAATTAATAGACATTTCAGACAGGGTTTGAGGTTTCGACCACTGCTTTTTCAATCGCAAAGACTTTGCTAAAGTTAGAGACTGAGGAGGTCAAGCTTTGGGTAACACAAACATTTCCTCTTTGATTAGGGGGAGACTACTTTACCTCGCCTCCTTTTTTTTTATTTTATTATTTTTTTCGTTGAGTAGTAGATTTTAGGTCATCCTTAATTTTTTAGTGACAACAAAGAGCAGGTCATTGACCTACATAGAGAGCTATTTTATTTTTCTCCCTCTCGATAACAATGGCCAGAACACCTATGTGCCAGGTTCTTCTGTATTCCCATATACTCGGCAATTCACCATGGGGGCAGGACTTAAAACCTTTGAGCCTCTCAGTGACTGGGATAAAAAAAAATTATCTGGGCTTCCTTCCAGCCATTTGAGCTTCAGAATCCATGAGATTTCAACAAAAAGGATATCAGAGCTTTAATCTAGGAGCTTTTTGAAGAGGTGGAAAAAAAAAAGTTCCAGTAAAGTTCAGTCTTACCTTCTTCACTTTAGGAGCTGTTCATGCCAACGTCGGCCTATTTAGTAGAGTTCCTCTCCTTGACCTCTTTTTTACAGCCGAGATAATTAACATGGTGGGGTAAGATGAGTCTCTAAATTCACTGCACTCTCTCCCTGGCGCTCTCCCTTTTCCCTCTTAAAGCTGGGGATGATTAAAGGAGCCTGCCTTTATTGGCACCCCGAAAAAAAATAAAATAAAAATAATTGAGGGGGAGAGGAAGAGCCTCGGCGGCGGCAGGGAGGGGCGAGCAGGCGTGGGGCGGTGGGAAGGTGCCTGGCAGGGATGCAGGACGCGGCTCCTGCCTCCCATCATGGGAGGAAGGGATGCTGAACATCTGTAGAGTCCTCCTGCAGGTCTCCCCCAGCATCCCAGGCTTCCCTCGTGATCAGGGAGAGCCTCCCTGGAGAGGAATTTCCCTTCTCCAGCCTTGCTCAGGAGGGCTCTGTGAAGCCAAGGGATGGGACAAGAAGATGTCACCCCCGCTTCCATGCAACTCAGCTGAGCAATTCCCTTCTCCAAGCCTTCCCTCCACCCTGGGAGCATGGAAGCAGAGTTATCCACCTCCTCCAAGCCCCCCAGAGCTGAGGGATGAGGAATAAAAGGCGGGATGAGTCAATGCAGGAGCTCAGGCAGCATCCAAGCGGCTCCATGCAAGGAGCAGTGGGATAGGGAGCAAGCACCAGGGCTACCAGGGACAGGGTGGGAGGGATGAGCAGGGAACAGGAGCTGAGCAAGAAGAAAAGTGCCTAAAAAGGCACCATGGCCAAAACAAGGCTCCCAAGTGGCTGGGAGATGGATCAGGGCCCAGTGGAGCCAGCCCCACGCACCCTCCAGCTATTCCAGCCTGGACACTCTGCCCCCGTGGCTGTGGGAAATGAGCAGCACTGCAAGGCAAAAATAAAAGCCCAGGGATTTGAAAAGGCAGCATTTAGCATCATCTAGTGCTAGACCTCATCCTCTGCTCTGTTTAGCCTTGCTAAACAACACTCGGAGCATTTGGAGCCATTGTTTTGGGAAGCTGGGGAAGAGCAGCTCCTTAATGGGTCCTGAGTGAGAAATAAAGAGCCCAAAAGCAGCCCAAGGCCTGGCCCTGCTCTCTGAGACGTGACAAAATGAGGGCTTTCACACATAAACCTCGCTCCAGCCCCGGGGATGGGAGGAAAAAGCAAACAGGACGCTTTTCCTTAAGGAAACTGGGGCCTGAGTGGGGTTTTGGGATGGGAATTTTCCTGCAGCCTCCGCTGCCCCAATCTCCTGCTCCTCCTGCTGGTTGTTCATCGCATCCCATTTCTAATAAATCCCACTTTCCCAGCCTGGGTATTTTCCACCCCAGCCAGTGGGAGCCATCCTGGCATAAGGAGGGCAGTGGGCACATCTTCCCCTGACTCTCTGATGAGTGAAGAACTAACAAAAAAGTCAATCCCAAATAATTTTCACCCATTCCATTTGATCCAGGAGGGCAGGGCAGAGTGAAGGTAGAGCACTAGCACCACTCACCCCAAATTTCCTTTACCCTAAGAAGTGAAAGCAAGGAGACATCACCCACCACCTGCAAATGGGTTGGGAATGACTTGGAAGTGAGTTAAATTAGTTAAAATTAGTTGCCAGGCTGGATGGAAAACAAATTTATTTGTTTTGCCACCGAATTTCTGCTGAGATAAACAGAAAGCTGAACTCAGAATACTCTTTTGGTATTCCCAGAAGCTTGGAGAGGAGCCCTTTATAAAGCAGCAAGCCATCACTGGGCTTTATTTAATGGGATTGTAGTCTAATCTGGTGGCAACAACCAAGGTGTGGATGAAAATACAGGAAGCCAGAAATGCTGCTGAAAGTCTTGGAGCTCGTGAATTCATGAACAGAGATTTTAAAGGTTAACAGGAGCACCTACCCAAAACCTGCTGATGCCCAAATACCCAAAAAAGGAGTCAAATGCTCCTCCCAGGCTCCCACCTTTTCCATTGACTGGAGGAGATCATCCCTTATCCATAACTCCTTGCCAACATTCCCTCTGTGCCAAGAGAGGAGTATCAAGGTGGGAAATTCAGTATAAATCTGCTTGGCTCTCTTCCAGCAAGTGAGCCTTTGAACTTGATAACCAAAAATGTGATGAAGCCTCTGGGAAGGATGGCATTTCCACAGGAGAATATTTGGGATGTCTAGATCAAGAGGAACTGAGCTCCCAGGGTTGAATTCTCTGTAAGGTGAAGACCCCACAGCAGGTTGAGGATGCTGGGCTGGATGCAGCTCCCGGCTTTGCTGAGGAATAATCCCTCTGTGCTGCCTGTGCAGGTGGAAATCTTCAGCCAAACCAGGGCAATGTTTGTGCCCAAAGTCTCTGGGCACAGCTGCCCCCTTGCCTAGGGATGCTTTAAGCATGATCTACCCTCCAAAAAGAAGAAAAACAGAACAAAAGGGGATTTTTCTCATGGGCTAGGCTGTTGCATTTTTTTTTTCCCATTTTTTCCCTGCAGAACTATCCCTTGGTTTGCCCTGAATATGTTATTTTAGGGTGCCAGAGCTACCTGTGACATCAGGATTAAACTAATACAGAGAGATCCCAAGAGAATAATTATCACCAGGGCTACAAATTCTCTGCTGACAAGGATGGACAAGATGAATAAAAGAGACTGAGTGTCTGAGTAATCCTCTCCAACAGCAGCCAGAAAACCCCAAAAAAGCCTCAGGGAGACAAATCATTCCTCAAGAAAGAGATTCAGCATCCTAGAGCAAAAAAGGAAATTGGAAAGTAAGGACCTGAGGATTTTGGGAATGGCACAACCCCACCCCAAGCAGAGCACTGTCAGCCCAGGACAGTGGTGGATGCCTCTGGTGAGGGCTGGCACCTCTGGGACCATTACAACTTCCCAGGCTGCAGGAAAATATCCTGCAGGGGTTTTTTTCCTGGCAAACTCAGGCTTGAGATGCACGGGAAAAGCAGCCCAGGGAAATGTTTGTAGATTCTGCACTGCCAAGGACAGTGAAAATCTCATCCCACCTCACAGCAAATCCATGGGGAGGTGATGAGGCAGGCCCACAAAAAGTCAAGCACAACAACATTATTATTATTATTATTATTATTATTATTATTATTATTATTATTATTATTATTATTATTATTATATTTTCCCCACATATGTTAGCCTTCCCCTGGGCCAGGAAAAACAAGCAATGTCTTGGTGCTGTCCTTCCTCCCTGAGGTTTCTCCTCTTCCCCATCCCTGCTGCTGGAAGGATCGGGCTGGGACTTCTCTGTGCTGTTTCTGTGTCAGCCCAGACCCTGAGCCAGGGCTGCAGTGACACCTGAGCTGGAAGAAAAGTGATTAGAGGAAAATTGGAGAGGCAGGGTGGGGTTAAAAGTTGGTGCTCCTCCCTTGGACTCCATGATCCTCATGGGTCCCTCCCAGCTCGGGATATTCCATGAAAACACAATCCTTTAGTGAGCACAACTCAGGTGTTGGGGTCCCTCAAAGGAAAATCCATTTTTATATCCAAGCAAGTGGGCCTAGGATGGTCAAAGTGTTCAGGAATGGTCAGGGATGGTCAGGGATGGTCAGGGATGGTCAGGGATGGTCTGGGACAGTCAAGGAGGGTCAAGGATGGTCAAGGATGGTTGAGAATGGTCAATAAATTCAGGGATGGTCAAGGATGTCAAGATGGCTAAGGACAGTCCAGGACGGCCAAGGATGACCATCCATGAATGGTGCCGGTCAAGGGGCAGAGGGAGATACTGCCCAAACCACCATTGCCCTCACTGTGGAGGGCAGCAGGACACAGCACCACCCTGCCCAGCCTCTGCTGCTCCCTCCTAAAATCCCTGAGTGCCACAACCCCAGCTCCATCCTCACACCTCACCCCGCACCACCTCCCACCCCATCACCCCTCGTGTGCCCACACCACCCCTAAAGCCTCGTCCTGGAGGTTCATCCCCCGTTCCTGCAGGTGTGCCAGGCTCCTGCTGAGACACGGGGCCGCCGTGGAGCTGCCGAGCGAGGCCACGGGGGACACGGCTCTGCACGTGGCCGCCAGGCACGGCC